CAATTAACTTTCGTTTCTCATAGGACGCATCTCATATAGTGTCAAACTTCCAGTAAATATTAAAATTCTATTTTGAATAGTTTTTTCACAAAATAGATGTTTGCGTTTTTTGATCAGGAATTACCCCAGGTCACCCTAAGAGAAATAAAGTAATATAAGGATAAAAGAGTTAAAAATAGATTTTGATATTAGATTTAGTCGGGACAGTGAATTAATGAGTTTTACACATGTACTGAACTGAAAAGTTAGCCGTTACCATTGATTGTTAAAAAGAGAATAAAATATTTATATTTGCTTTTTATAAAATGTAATAAAAAAATTAAGTAATTGATTTCATTTAATTAAAATTAGATTAAAAATTATTTTAAAAAATTAAATTTAATAAATTAAATACATTTTTATAGCTAGGAAATATGTAATGGTAATTATTGCATTACAGTTGTGCCTGAGATTTATTTTACTTTAATAGATGCTGTTTAGTGCTGTTGTTTATTTGCGAAGTTTAAAAGATGTGCTTATACTTTTAGGTAAAAGCTAGAGAAAAAACTAAAAGAAAAGTAGAGGACGATGAGGAAAGTGATGAAGAGAGACCTGCCATTGATGTGGTTGACCACTATACTAAAATGCTAGATTTGATGAAACCAAAAGAAACTGTCCAGAAAGCTATTTGTCGTTTAGGAGGTTCAACTGCCTCTAGAAGTGCTAGCAATAAATGGAAAAAGAAAAAAGACAGTGTAGAAGAAGCTAACACAAAAAGTGAAGAAGATGTAGAAAAATTAGTGACTTTGACTAGCTTAGCAAATAATCTTATACAATCTGGAGACATGGATGTGTATCAACAAACGTATGAAAAAATGTCATATTATGTCAATTCCAAGACTAAATCTAATGATCAAAATGGTGATGATGCTGCATTGGACATGTTCGGAGATGATTTTGAAGAAACTGTTGATGAAAATAAAACTTCTGTTTCTGGGCATCACAGTCCGTCTCCAACTGCAGGTATTAGTTGGTCTGAATTATTTTAAAATAATATTTATTAAATAAATTCTAGTTATAATTTACTTTAACCAGTGTTTTCATTACAGGAAAAAAATGAGAGAGAATTTCTCACCCTTTCTCAAAAACAGGGTGAGATCTCAAAAAGTTAAGTGAGATTTCTAAAAATTAAATTAACGCGAATAGACTTGGAAAAAAACATTTCTTTAATTATAATACATTTTTAACATTTTCTAATTGTTAAAGCATTGAATATTTTTGCTTCATCATCATATGGAAAACGTTCTATATCTACTTTTTCGTCAGCTTTTCTCATTAGGTTGCTCAAATGTTTATCAGTCATTTGTAAGCTATATTTTGTCTTAAGTCGGTTTTGAGTGCTAAATGACCTTGCAACAGATGCTGAACAATTCAGAATCACTAAGTAAATTTGTAGCATTGAAAAAAATTTAAACGTCTTACATGAAGAAATATTACCTTCCGTGAACACGTGGTTGCAGAAAAATGTGTTCTGAAAGGTGTTCTGTCATTCGGGGGGGGGGGCATTGTGTTCTGCTGTTCGCACCGGTTCTGAAACATACTGGTAAATAGGGAAGCTAGATAACAGGGATCGATGTTGAAAATAATGAAAGATCAAGGAAGAAAGGTGAAACTGATTTTATTCAAAATGGCAGAAGACAAATATTTTTCCAAAATTCGCGCATTTTGAAATTGATTAATATAATGCGCAATCTTCTCGCGTTAATAATTTTAATGTGAGAAAAGAAAAAAATAAGCGAGATTCTCGTGCTGTAGTGAAAACACTTCTTTAACTTATAAATAGTTTACTTTTATTCGAAAGATATTGAGTTAATAATTTATATTGCCCAACTAACTTAGAAAATATTGTGTTCGAGCCTCTTGACCCTTAATAGGATCATAATATTAAAGATTACATTATTGATATACTTTTAAATTTACTTTATTCTTAAGAAATGGGATGATCAAGTAACTAGTTTCTTATTCAGAGACAGTATATTAGTCAAAATATATTCATAATAGTTTATATCTCATTTCTTTGAACAAAACATAAAGGGTTGTTAGTAAGAAATATACTGGTTATAATGATTTGGTTCAAATATTTAATTTTATTAAAAACATTTTCCTAAGGATACATTTTACCTTATATGCATGTAAAAATTTACGTTATGTACAGTTTTACAAATTAATCTATTGATACATTATTGATGTTCATTATGATGTCACTTAAGCATAAATTATGACATTTTATTGTTCGCATCACTTTTTCTTAAAAAATATTGCTAAAAAACCACATACTTTGTTTTATTTATTTATTATTTTTAAGAAATTTATATTTCCTAGAAAACTTATATAATCTTTTGCGAGGATTAAACTATCATTAATTAAGAGAGTAAAAGTGATGACAACTAAAAAAGTACTCGATGTAGATTAGCATTTTATATTGAAATATATATATATCTATAAATTACATAATATTTCAAGTTGAACATGAGTAAAGGTTTCATAAATTACTATTTAAGCATTTTAATTTTATTGATAAAAACTTTTTAGTTTTAAACATAAAGGGTATAATTGCATAAACAATATCTTTATCTAGAGCATTCAATACTGTAAATTAATTAATTTTATGCAGTCTCATATATTGCAATCTGCAAGGTTGTGTTACAGTTTTAGCCAGTTTCTTCACTTCAAACATTATTGTGTGGTAACAATAAAAAAAAATCATTCTTATCCTTCTCCTATGTCTTTTTAAATTTTTTAATAATTTCTTTTTTCTTTTAACCCAACATCCATTTGTTTTTAATGAAATGTTATTATAAATTAATAAAATTAAAAGGCAAACTTAACTGCATACTACTAAAGTTAGTTTGTGTTGAGTATCCTTATACTAAAATTGTAAAATTCTATTAAGTCATGAAACAAAAAATAAGACTTAAGTTTTATTTTACTTACTTCCAATGCTTGCCAAAAATCTTCATTTACAAAGCATATAATATTATTTCTTTTTCTTAGCAAATATCTGTTAATACCAGATAATTTTTTTTAACTAGTACTTTAAGAAATTATTTAATTGCACAAGTAGTATGAAGTTAGTCATCTATACTCAATAATTTCATAATTTTTTTGTCTTAACCATATATTATTGATAAATTTTTTTATTACGTTGTTTTGCCAAATTTGTTTTCTTTAACTAGCACTTACTAGAACTGAGAAATTTATGTAATAAAATTCCTCTATTTTTATATGCTCTAGATACTAACTCAGAAGTTATGTGGGAGTTCAAGTGGGATAATGCAAAGGATTCCAAAATTTATGGTCCCTTTCCAACTTCCCAAATGCAACAATGGGTTGAAGAAGAATATTTTCAAAGTGGAGTATTTGTAAGACAAGTTGATAAGCCAGATGCTGAATTTTATAGTTCAAAGAGAATGGACTTTGAATTATACATGTAAATTGTTTTTTCACATCATTATTATACCATCTTCATTTTATAATTCATATTTCATCATTACAATTAAATAATTTTTGTTTAAACTTGTGAAGATTCCTGTACGTTTGATGTTTTTTGTGCAAAATACATTCATGTGGTTTGAAATGTTTAAAATTTAGTTTTATTTGAAAAAATTGTTTTTGTTTGTTTAATTTTGTTTTGAAAAAGGATGTTTTTTATTTTATCGACTTTTTTATGCCTTCTTGTTGTTTAACTATAAATCTTTTATTGTTTATTAAAATTTAATTTCATAAAAATATTTCACTTCAGTTTACTCTTAAACTGGGAAAAAAACAAAAAGAAAAACTGTCAAGTTTCAGGATTATAGTGCTGCGGGAAATAATGTTCTTTTTCTAGATTTTGTTTGATTTATCATTGAAAAATTTATGTTGATATATTGCTGATAAAATATGACAATTTAGGGTTTACTCTACCATCTTAAAATTTTCAATGGAATTACTTTTATTCTCGATATATTTAAATGAATGAAAAATGTATTACCACACCAAAATATTCAACATGAAAATATACAAATATATTTTTATTTATTGTGATGTGATATGTAGAGATTCTAAAATGTAATCTATTTTTCTATTTAAGCAAAACATCATAATGATTTTGAAGATATTCTATTTCTTGCTAAAACTCACTCATAAATGCAAAACTGCTTTCAGTCCCCCCCCCCTTATTGTACAACCTTAATGCTCCGGTTTATGTAAAATTGTAAATTTAGAAGTTAGGGGAATGTCTATTAATTTTTATCCGCTTCATGTGTGTTGATGATGTTTACAAGAAAAGTTAGAAATCTGAATCATGTTATAATTTTCTGTGAATAGTGTAAGAATAAAATTTTTATTATGTACAATTTTTTTTAAGATTTCTATAATTTTGAAAAAATTTCTTATTCCCTTTTTTTTTTAATACTGATTATTTATAAAAACTATTGCTTGTGTAAATTTTTGAGCAAATCCGTTTTTTTTATTAAAGTTAGTATTTTATCGTAAAAATTAAAAGGTTAGTTAAATTACAAAACAAAAAAAAATTTCATTCTGAAAATATTTAAAATAATTTGTAAATATCTTAATGTGCACTTTGGAAAGATATAATCATAAAAATGTTTTATTAAAATAATTTTTACTCAGACTAATAAAAAAATTTTGACTCAGCTTTTGTGTTTAAGCTTTGCATACAAAATGTTTTAAAGTTGTTACTACAGCATATTTAAAGTTGCACACATAAAAGTTTTATGTTCTGTAAAAACACCAGTTTGAGAATTTGAATTAAAATAAAATATCTTTCAGGTTTAAATGTTGACTCACTGTTTGAGCAGACAAACTTAAGATGCTACAATTAATCGCTAGTAAACTTTTTTTCTTAATACAGCTCAAGCTGTGTGTTTAAGGAAGTAGACTAAGATCAAATTACATGTTTAAGAAAATGGATATAGCTTAAAAAACTTTAGAAAAAAAAGGACACATTATGAACCAAAATACACCTTTCATTGTTCAACCCAAATTTAACTAAACAAAAAAAAATTTACTTTTCATTATTTAATCAAACGCTAAGTATAATCATCAGAGACACAGATTTTGGGGTTGGGGTAGGTTGGCATATTCCAGGTGTAGCTTTTCAGGTGATCTTTACGTATTCATAACACCGATTTTTTAAAATCTAATTTCAAAGAACATAAATTTAATACCACTATTATAAATTCTTACGGTGTGACAACTTTGTAAAAACAAGAATTGGCTTTTAAAGTTATTTAAAAAAAAGACTGATTTAAAAGTTTGTGTTAAGAAATTTAAGCAATCGGATTATTAAGTCCATTACTTTACTCTTAAAAAATAGAATAAGAGAAGTTTGAAAAATGGAATGAAATGCTTTGTAAATTTTTTTAAATACGCATTTTTAGCCGCATTTTTTTACTTAACTACACATTTTGAATTACTTGTATTTTTATAAGAACTCATTTTGAGCTTAATCCATTTTCTTTTTAAACTCACATTTTGAGTTATGTCCATTTTCTTTTTAAACTCACATTTTGAGCTTTTTCTTAAACATTCATTTAAAGTTCTCTCCAGAATAAAAATCTTACCAACATTATGTTTGAAATGTCAATTGCTTTCACAAATACTGAAGCATGTTCATTTTATCGGGTTTTAAGAGGACAATTTTGGCATTAAATTAAATGCTTAAAATGTAATTTTTTTTTGTTGTAACTTGGAAATGCTTATTTTCTCTCACTCCTTTGTAATTTTTCTCGTGCCTTTTGTTGGTAACCTGGGTGATCATGTTGAAAAGTGTTTGTGAAGCAGTTGCTTTCCCCCACTTTTTCCAGATGCAAATTTTATTTTATTCACTGAAAAAAGAGAGAAAATCATTGATTTCCTAACATTTTACAAACACTATCCATAAGTGTCGCAAAATATTTCTATTTTATGATCAGTAGAAAGAAAGGGTTGGTGGAAACGGAGATTTCAGATTTGTGTTTCATATCTTCACTTATAGCAGATAAGTAGCTTCATTTTTCATTTATTTAGTTTTCCAGATACAGGGGAATCCTTAAATTAAATTTATGTTACATAGAGAGCAGATGGAAAGGTGATGTTGTAATGGAAGCTGTGAGCCTCTTTTTTTTTTTAAGACAAGGCATGGTTCATTTTTTTCCTGATATGCGAATTCTGGATAGTTTAGAGCAGGTGAGAGGTTTAAAGCTCAGTTCCTTAACTGGGAATCAAACTTTCTAAAATACTGATATTTACATCAATCGTAACTAATATAAACTTATTTACGTTACTTGCTGTTAAAGTACAGTGCACCAAGAAAAGGATTGCCCTGAATAATTTTTGATTTAATGATTGGATCTTCACATTCTAGCCTTCAATCTTAATGGCTCATGAAAGTGACATCAAACATACTAATTAATTACTGCAATTGATATTGTAAGTCACAAAATTAGACACAAAAACATACTTTTTTCTGGTGGATTCATATTTCTGACTCCCTAATTATAGGGATAATGTGATCCTATTGGCGAATAGTGAGACAACTGGATCAGAGACGCCCTTTTGAGTATGCAAAAATGTTTGAAATAAGGAGAACCTGATTGGTGAAAGGATCCGGTGAATCGCATGCAGTGAGAATAGTTGGAAATTAAGGAATTTCTCACACAGGCATGTGTCGGCGATTGGAATGGGTTGCAGGTGGTACATAGCTGAACTCCATAGTTGCAATAACACTTCGTTTGTTTTCACCATTAGCGCAGGATAGTTATTGGAGTAGGAAGCATGTTAGTTTCTGTCTTGATTTTTAAACTAATGCATATGATGCTATGTAAACTAATTCAACTGCATGAAATTCAAAACTGCTTACACATAGTTCTTAGAGCAGGCGTCGTGAAAATTTGAAATATCTGATGTATAAAAAGTGCTGTTGTACGCCATTAAGACAGAGGGGGTGCGTTTATTTTTTTCCAATTGTGCCATCGCATCTATGGCCAAGCCCAAGAATTCTACTTCTGCCACACACATACGTCACAACCCATTTATCAAACGGACCCATTCAGGAAAGAGGTATTATATTCCCTTATCATAGTATTATATTCCCATACAAGTGAGTAGAGGAGAGAGAATGGGGGTGACTCTTGACTGGAACAAGATATCTTTTCAAATAGCATATTGAGGGCTGCAATCATGAATCACATCAAGTAGGCTTGCATGTTTGAATCGATTCACGCACCACCAATCATAATTGGGATAAAGGGGGAACCTGATGAGTGAATTTCTCCTGGGAAGAATCACCAATCACGTTCTTATGCACCCTTGATAGTGATCGTAGAGGGAGTGAGGCGATATTTTCAAACAGATAATTTTGTTTTCAATAGAAGAAATAAATTATGAAATTTTTGTGCTCAAATCTGCTGAATTTCATATGATACTAAGTAACTCTGGTGTGTTTGAACGGAAAATTTGTCCTAGTTATTTATAGATACATTGTTTAAAAAGATGACATGGTTGCTAGACTTTGAAAGAACTTGCTTTTTTTTTTACAGTCCTGATTTGGCACCTTGTTTATTATGCTTGTTCTTGTTGCTAGCCATTCACCATCATACATTAGTGTAATGTAGAGTCCATAGTGTTCAAGCTGCGAGATTAATTTCATTTTACAAATTATAATTTAGGTAAAAATTTTGAGGTTAGCACATAGTTGTAGAAAAAATTGTATTACATAACAATTCTTTTTTTTTTTTAAATGTTAAGCTACACAACAAGAGCCACTTCGAGTTTTAGACTCAGAACTCATTGAAAACATAAATAATAAATCAGGTTATATATACAAGAAATGCTGCTCAGGACATTCAAAGTACAATGAACACGTTGTGAGCCAAATGGCCTCACCATACACAGGTAACAGTAATCCGGGGAAATACTGACTGGAAAGGGAAGAGCCTGCCTATTTTGTGTAGAAAACACCATCCATGCGAATTAAGAGATACGAGCAAAATCCTGATTCTCGAGTTTTTCAAGGGTAAATATATTTCTGAAATTGGGCTCCCATTCACATCTCCGATTCTAACGCTGGGCGAACGGTCCCTTAAAGTTTTCATTTCGTGGATGGGCCTATTTAGCCTGGCTATTAGGACGTTTGGCCCATATCCGAGAGGTTGTGAGTTCGTATCCCCACACAGAAGATTCCCTGTGAACAAAAGAGTGACTAGAGCACGCTTAATCAGTCGTGGTCACAAATTCTTCTAAGTTCCTATATAAATCTGGGGGTACTGGATCTGAGATTGAGCGTGCTTTGTTTCAGGTCTGAATTACGATCTGCGGAGGGATAGATGGTGTGAATATGTTCTCTCTTTAAAATGGGTTATGACTCATGTATGCTGTCTCCAGATCATCCTCATGGATGTTTCCCAGATCATGCAGCTTTAGTGCGCCTATACCTATGTCGTATATGGGATTACACAATTATCGCATCGCATTAAGGATTTTTTGCTCATTTCTAAACTCCGTATGTGTCAAAATAATGCTGATATTTTTCCGCATGTGCGAATATAAACAACCATTAAGAGCCCCTTACTCTGCATACAAAACAAAATCGAGAATTTGATTGGAGAAAAATATTTAAGGGAAGAAACACGCCAATCAGGTTCTCGTTCACATCTCAGAATTTGCATATGCGATTTATTTTGAATGTAGCGTGAATGACAGTTTAGCTTTGGCGTAAAATAAATCTTTATGATGAAAACCTAAGCATACCGTGCTCTATCTTTTTGTTAATATGTTGATGCGAGTTTCGTGTTTCGTTGTTGTTCCAGTCCAGTTTCATCTTTTGACAACTCATAAAGATATAAAATTTTTTTGCTAGTTATTTAGCTTATTTATTATTTAACATTTTTCAATTTTGTATGCTCTCTTGAAATATTGAATTTCCAAATGGATTTTCAAACCAGATTGAGTCAACTTTATGACGATCTCATAAATCTTGGGTTTGTTGTTTCTGTGAAATATTCAGATAGTAATGTAATTTTTCAAAGTAAACAAAATCTTTGTAGATAGTTAAATATTGTTTAATTTTTTTTTAAATTTTTATATCGTACAAGTTTTTATTTTAAGAAAAGTTATTTTATATGTATATGTAAACATGCTGACCGGTTAATGAAAAAAATTGGTGTTTGAAAACCTTTGTTGCATGTTTTAATAAAATTTTAGTAATTTTTATTGATATTCTATTAAAATGTTTTTTTATTTCGTTGGGTTACTTATTTAAAAATTTAGCAATTATTTAGAGATTATATATAGTGTGTTAAAAGGTATTTTTTAAAAAAATTGTTTCTTTTATTTATTGTTATGAGTCAAATGTTTATTTAAATGCCATTTTTATTAGACTTTTTCTTCTGTTTCACAAAAAATATGAAGCATGTTTTATTTTTAACTGTTAGTATCTTTTTAGGTATCCAGCAGGAAGTATTAAAAAGGAAGATTTTTGCAATGCATTCTGCAACTCGCAGCCAAATATGTTGTTTGTCAACATTTCAGCTTGGTTGAGTGTTCAACTAGTAGAGTTCTCCTCTGTTGAAAGTAAAATTAGCCCATTTGAAGGTACAGTCATTTGTGATTTATATATTGCTAGGATAACTGTGCATTTTAATATTAAAAAAAAAAGAAAACATTTCTTTCAGAAATTTTTTTTTTAAAAATATTTTGTTTTTGACTTTTTAATTATTTTTCTATGTCTAAATATTTTATGAAGCATTTGTTCATTCTTTCTCTAGCAAACTGTTTAAAAGTTCCTACTTAAACAGTTAAAAAGAAGACAAGTGTAATATTGCGATATTCTCAAAATACCACGGTTTATAGAGTTTGGGTGCTTGAGGACTAGAGAGTTATTGAATTCATAAATGATTTGACTTCCAGGTTTTGTAATGGTTTTATGTAATCAGCATAACTCAAAATGCTAGTAAAATTTAATCTTGCACAAACTTCCTTTATTTTGATGATCTTCCTGACCCCACATAACAAGGTATAGTATTAGCTGCTCCAAATTGAATCATTATAATGAAATTCCATGGATAAAGAAAATAGTCCAAAAAAGAACAGTGGTAGAAATGACATTTATTATCGCATGATAAAAATTTAAAATTGAGATTTTTTAAAGTCGTTGAGAAATATTGTAGTTAGTAGTTATGCTATTGCTTATGATAAATCTCAATTGACTTTTAATGTGAAGGATATGATGGAACAAAACTCAAGATATCTAATCTAGAGATTTTGATCTCTAAGAATTTTAATTTTATATTTAAAGCAATTGATTGTCAAGAGTGAAAGAATGCCATGAATTATAAAATGAAGGTAATGTATGAACAGGAAATTATACATTTAGTTCCTAAACTTGGAGATGTAAAAACTGTAGTTTGCTGTTCTATCTTTAATGTTAGGAAAGATGAAAAAAGGGCAAACTTCGAGATATAGAGTCAGATTAGTAGCACAAAGCAATGCACAGGTAAGAGGGAAATCATATGATGAGATTTTTAGTCCTGTATTAAATGTTTCTTTGCTAAGACTTTCTTTTATCCTCTTTGTGTACCAATTTAAATGGTGCCATTGTCAACTTGAAATAAAGTGTACTTACCTTTACACTAAACTTAAGGAGCAAGTCTTTGTAAGACAAGCACAAGGTTTTGTTAATAAAGATAAAGCTGACTTTGCTTATAAATTTAAAAAAAAAAAAAATCCCCTTGTGAACTCCAAAGTGGCAGAAAAAGGTTATTAGAAATTACTAGGGTTCTAATTAAACTTGGTTAGGTAAAATTTCAATGGTGTAATTGTGTTTAGATCTTTAAAAGCAATAATATATTATTGCTTTTTAATGTTGATGATATTGCAATTTTTGGAAAAACTCAACAACTAGATTTTAATTATAGTATTTCTGAAATAAGTGATCATTTTAATGTTACAATTTTAGACAAAATTCAAAAATTGTTGAAATTAAATTTTTTGGTAATAAAATTGTGGTTTTATATGTCAAAAGCTATATATAGATCAGATTTGTCAAAAATTTTCTTAGTTACATTTTTCTCATTCTTCACAACTTATTGCTACAGTAGTAGTTCTAACTAAATTAGATTGTTCTAACAATAGACTACATAAGAATATATGTTGAAATTTTCTTAGTTAAATTTTTCTCATTCTTCACTACTTATTGCTACAGTAGTAGTTCTAACTAAATTAGATTGTTCAAACAATAGACTACATGTAGAATATATGTTGAAATTTTTGCAGAAACATACTAGAATGTTTGACTTTCATTGCAAATCCAACTAGACCAAATTTGAGTTATGCAGTTTATATGCTATCACAATACCAAAGAAATCTTAGCGTTAAACATTGCAATATTTGTATGTTAATGATACTAAAAATTATATGTTAAATTTAAATAAATATTACTACTTTGAATGTAAATTGTTTCTTAGATGCTAATTTTCAACCAATAGAGATAATAGGATCTGAATGAGTGGTATGATATTTTTTTATTTATCAGGTACCAATTTCTTGGCGATCAACGAAATAAGAGTATATATCCGAAATGGAAGCTGGATATGCAGCAGTGGAGGAATTTAGTTCTTTAGTTTACTTCTTTACTTAGTTTACTTCTTTAAAAAAACTTCTTTAGTTTAAAATATATGTTTAGAGGAAGTCAAAACTTTTAAGTTTATTATCTCCTAAGATTAAATTGTTTTGCTATAACGAAGCAGCTATAGATTTTACAAGTTCTAAAATAGAGAACCATAAATAGAGCATTGATATTAAATTTTATTTTTTAAGAAATTTAGTTTTATGTTATGTTGTAGATAGGACTGGGCGATATTAGAAATTATATATCGTGATATATCGTCAATTTTGCATCGCGATATAGCGATGTATCGCGATATAGTATTTTTGAATTTCATTTACTTTAATGCACAGAAAGTCAGATTTCTATCAAGACTTCATACGCATATTGATTTAAATCAATTTATAAATTTGAAAATATATATGTTTTGCTAAAGAAAGATATTAAATAAATTGACTAAGATGTACAAATCTTACTTAAAATATTTATTGAAAAAATGTGTGTAGATACAGAATGAAATATTTGCACTTCTTTATCGTTTATAAGGTATAAGCAGTCTTAATTTAAGTTAACCCCTAAAACACCCTTAATGAAAAAAAATATTGTTATTAAACAAAAGCTGATTTTAAAATTTCAAAATATATTTTAATTAAAATAAAAGTTAGATTGACTAAAAGCCGAAGTTTAAAATTAAAAATGTTCGAATTTTAAACTAAAAAGTAAACATAAGATTTGTAATAATTTCTTAAAATTTTCGTTCTCTGAAAGATTTCTCAGTTTAAAAATAAAAAGGGAATTTTATAAAGATATCTAGCTGAAATTATTGAAAGAAAATTTAAAAAATTAAAAAAAAAGTTTGTTAAGAAATTCATTATACACTTAAAACAAAGTGTTAAAAAAATTTTTTTTTTTTTAAAAAAAGAAACTTTTTTTAACAAATCAATATTTGCTTGTACTATTATGCGTAAATAATTACAGAATTATTAAGTTCGATCGTAATGTTCAAATTCTTAATGAAGAAGTAAACACAAGTTTTGTTATATTTTCTAAAAATGATCACGCAAATAACAAAAGATTTCTTAGTTTAAAAATAAAAAAATAAATAAAAGTGAAATTTATCAATATATTTACCTAACAGCATAGGAACAAAATTTAAAAAATAAGTTCGTTAAAAAATTATTTGTATGCTTAAAACAAAGAGCTAAATAAATTTTAGAAAAAAAATGCTTCTTAAACACTATTTTTATTATTATTTCATATAAATAATTAAATTAAATTAAATAATGACCGAATTATGAACGAAAAACAAAGTAAGGCAAAGTTTCTTAATTAAATTCTTAAAAATAAAAACAAAAGAATTGTGATATTCGGTAATATATTTAGCTAATTAACTAATAATATAAAACGAAAATTAAAAAAAAATAATGATTTTACTCTCTAATAAAACGAAGTAGTAATTGAAAAAAAAAAAAAAAAGAAATGAATAAAATTCGCAAACTTTTCAAATTCTTTTGAACAAATAAAGTTTATTGACTTATGTCCAAAAAATAAGTTTTGTTTTAACTTTATTTCTAAAAATAAAAACAACTCAAGATTTATAAATTTAAAATCAGTAATAGAAGCCCATTAAATTATTAGAAGTTTTATCCGAAAGGTTTTTAATAAATTAAAAGAAAGTAAAAAAATAACCTAACAAATTTATTTACTTTGTAATTTAATTCCTTATGGGTGCCTTAAATTAGATTTCCGATAATTTTCACATTTAAAAATATAAAAAAAGTTTTGTCAGAAAATAAATAAAAAACTTACCTAATTAATGAAGAAACTTTTCTTTATAAATTCTTTTCAATAATAGATTGCGTTCAGAACAAGGTTACGACGGCGATCACGAAGTTAATCCCATTGAAAATAATCTACAAGAAACGATTTCAAATCGCGAAGGTGCGAAAACGAACATGTGATATAACGATATAAGGTCTCAAAAGTGGTTCTGATTCTACCGCTCATCAGTCAAGGCCGTCTCAACATAACGAAACAATATCGTCTTCCACAGCGCGAATTAGCATCGGAACGTAAGAGAAAGTCCTTGCGTGTATCGCTATATCGTTATATCGTCTTCTTCACTCGACGGCTTAAATCAGATTTCTGATGCATCGCCTGGAATGAAAGTCGCTGTATCGGTTTGCCGATATAGGCGTTAAATCGATATGTCGCGATATATCGATTTATAGCCCAGTCCTAGTTGTAGATTTTGTGTACATGAACACTAGATTGAAATTGAGAAGATAAATTGTTAGTTAGAAAACTAACTGTCAGAAATAAACTTAGTTAGAAAACTAACAGACTAAATCGTGAGTTAAAAAATTACTTAGAAATTTTGGGATCAAATTTATTTATACATTGTTATTATTATTATTTTAAGCAGAGCTATCTGATTGCGCGGATTGTTAGAAATATTTATAATTCAAACTAATTAGTTGGATCTTTCCTCATAATACAATTTTTTTTATTTGTCATAATGTAAAAATAGAGTTAGAAGTTACGACATTTTTATGAGAGAGTAACATACCTCTTTTAAAACTTATTATGTTTTCAACATGTGCATAAAAGTTACAATTTATCATCTTATTTACTTTAATAATAGGTAAAATGCTCAGTGTAAATTGGTTTATGATGTTACTATATTTTTGTATAAAGTATGAAATGTTTTGATATCATAGCTTGTACTTTTTTGATTTCAAACTTGCTTGTTCTATTATATTGTAATTTACTGGGAAATTTAGATGCTTCGGTATGTTTTAGATTAATTTATTAAATGTAAAGGCTAACAATCATGTTCTCATAAAAGTTTTGGATTGCTGTTACGAATTGTCTTGCCCTCTCTTACTTAGCACTAATACTTTACATCCACTGATTACTACACTGATATTTTGCTAAAAAATTATCCATTTTTATTTTAAGTTCAATTTCAGGGTATAAATTTACCTAGAAATCTACTAAACTGATGTTTTTTTAAGATTAAATAATTGCCCAGATGGTTTTTTGATCTATCTTTACTGTCCAAATAAATTAGGAATGTTCAAATTAATTTTGAAATGATGGTCAGAATCGGGTAGAAGTGATTGGTAGTACATCAACTTGGTGTGAGAATGCCATGTTGGTTAGTCCAGGAATGTTGATGTAACTGCGTTATGTGTTAAGAAGTTTTGTATTTGTGAAAATTTAGGCTGACTATGGTGTCAATTTTTTATTGCTCTGAATCTGTTAAAAGGAGGATTAAAGTTAAATATAATTTTAAGATATTTTGAAGAAAAAGAATAGGATTCATGATTTAAGAGAGATTAACTTCAATGTATTAATTGTATGTTTTTTACATGCCTGTTTAGCATCATTAAATAAGTTTTGTTTATGTATTGCTACATTTTTATGAAACTCTCTCCAGAGATGTAACAAAATACATTTAGCATTGTAAAATAATAGTTTTCTGTGTGTCTATTGCTGTATCTTTATGAAATTTGTATCAGGCTGGTAATAAAGCTGTTGCCTGTCTGATGACATTTGATATAGAACTGTCCATTTTTTTTAATGAAATGCATGTTTTGTGTTAAGAAACGACCATTATACGATGCATGAAGTTCATGAATGTGCATGAAACATGCATTATAAAATGCATGTTTTGTGTTAAGAGAGGACCCTTATACGAGTGAGAACAGGAAATTTTATAGGATTGCAATTTTTGATTCTGTTTTTGTCATGTAATAGTATATTATGCTTGCAATTTAACTATTTTTATAATACCCTGTTGGCATTTTTAGTTGAGGAAACTTAAAAGATTATTGTTGTTTACATACCTTATGTTCTTTACAAGTTTGTATTATCTTGTTCATATTTTCTGTTTTTATTATTGATCAAATATGTATATTAAAATATATTTCTCTTTTTAGAAGGAGATGATTTTCTAGGATTTATGGTCGAAATAAGTTCTTTGTTGAAAGAACTAAGTAAGTTTTACCTTTCACATGCATTTTAACATATTTTTCTGTGCACCAAAAAAAATAAATATAGAATGGACCTCCCTGAATTACTTTTGATCTAATGATCTTCATCTTCTAAAACTCAATCTTAATGGTTTGAATTACCTCAAAAAATGCTAATTAATTAGTGCAGATGGTATTTTAAGTTACAAAATCAGGCCCAAAAACTTACTTTCTCTGACTAAACATACCTTTTTTTCAACAAATTTTGATTTCTGACCCCTGAAATATAGGGGTTAGCTGCAGTCTTGAAAATACATAACGTTTAATCATTAGAACAATCCAAAGTTTGGACCCCTTAATGTTAATTTTACTTTTTGATATTTCGCCATATCTTGAGAACTTTTAACGAGAATTTAAAATTTTTTGCACACAATTATAAAATTTGATTGTTCAGAAGTAGTTTCACGTAAAAAAAAGTGTTTTTTCGCACTATTTATATATTATTTAATAATAGTTGAAAATTTTTTGAATTGTTAGGTGTACAAATTTTTACATCATTTTAAAGTATGTAATTTTACCTGGCAAAATTCAAAATTTGAGTGAAATTGGTAGAATAGTTCTGGAGAAATTGAATTTTGAAAGAGCCATGCATTTAAAAATCATTTTCTCATCAACTACTTAACTGATTTCACTGAAATTTTGTATTTTGCCATGTAAAATTATATACTTTAAAATGATGTTAAACAATATATAACCTTACAATTGAAAGTTTTTTTTTCGATTATTCTTAAATAAAATAATAAAAAATAATAAATATTTATTAATGCATTCTTGCATGGAATTATTTTTGGAGAAACAAATTTTATAATTGTGTGCAAATTTTTTTCACTACTTTGCTCAAAAAATTCTTGAAAAATGGCAAAATATGTAAAAAGTAAAACTAATGTTTAAGGGATCGAACTTTGGATCGTTCCTCTCACCAAACAATAGGGACCATATTTCCCACGTTGTGTCTACTCTTTATCTATTTGGAGTCAGAAATCTGAATCCAGTGAAAAATCGTTTCTTCAGAGAGACTGCGTTTGGAGTCTGATTCTGTGACTTAGAATGTCATCTGCACTAACTAGTTAGCATATCTGAAATTATCCCCACGAACCATTAAGAATGATTCCTATACTGTGAAGATCCGATAATTAGATCAAAAGTTATTCAGGGTGGTCTGTGTTTTTTGCCACGCTGTACATTTTTATGTATTTTTTTCAGTTTGATTTTGATTTAAATTCATTCTTTATATAAGAAAAAAGGTGCCCAAAATACTGCATAGCATGCATTTCCTTCAAAGTTTGTAACTTCAAATTTTTTTTGAATATGAAAAAAATTATTGTACATACACTAGCTTGCGAAAGTTTTTGGTCAACGTGTGAAAGGCACCTTTTTATGGTTTTTTTTTTCTGTAGAGATGATTTCTGTTTTATTTAGTCAAGCCATTATACATTACACTTGATTTCAGAATTTTTACTTTTCTTGCAATTTAATGGAAAATGTAATCTTCTTTGGATTAAATTTAAATCTTTGCACTCAGTTCAGTTGACTATTTCTTTCTATATATAATATGGATCTTGTAAGAACTAATTCTTTAAAAATAAATGTTAATAATTAATTAAAGTTAAAATCACGATTTCTGTAAATAAATATGCAAAACTTATGATTATTTTCTAAAATTGTATTTTCATCCAATTCTTAGATGTAAGAAAATCCCTTCACGGAAGACAAATAACTGACTGATATGAAAATTGTATTTGATTTAAAGTGACTTTAAAGTAAAGTGCTAACTTTGCTTTCTGATTGATAAGCAGATTAGAAATAAAATTATACATTATTTATTACGTTTCTAATCAACCATCTATAATATTTAGTTGAGTTTGACTTTTGCACGCTAGTAAACTGCTGTTTGTAGAAAATGCAACACCATGAAAGAATCATCAGAATCAAATGAAATTTAATGCAGAAACGACTTGTACTGATACAAATAAATGATGAAATTTTCAAAACAAAAGAAACAAATTAAGCGTCCGAAATCAGTATTTGGTGCAGCCACCACGCGCTGCAATAAGTGCTGCTATACGACGTGGCATGGAGTCAAACAGATGTTGAATATCTGCTTGAGGAAGAGAATTCCATATCGCTTGTATGCGCAACCAAAGTTCGTCTTTGGAAACTGCAGGACGCGGATCACGAGTGAGACGCCGACCAACCATATCCCACACGTGCTCAATAGGCGACATATCCGGCGAATAAGCAGGCCAAGGAAGAAGTTGCATGCGTTGTGCTGAACAGAAGTCTCTAACAGTCCGCGCAACATGTGGGCGTGCATTATCCTGCTGAAAGATAGCTCCAGGGATGCCTTGAAGGAAAGGAACGACTTCGGGCTGTAGCACTTCACGGACGTATCTGTTGCTATTGAGATTACCCTCAATTCGTATCAAATTGGATCGTCCATGATACGAAATCGCACCCCAGACCATAACTCCGGGTGTTCGACCACTATGTCGTTCAATAATACACTCAGGAAGGCAGCGTTGACCGGCATAACGTCTAACACGAACACGGCCATCATGGGTCCACAAATTGAAGCGTGATTCATCTGAAAAGACAACTTGGTGCCAATCAGCTCGCCAGTCTCTGTGCTCAAGAGCCCACTGCCGACGCAGCCGTCGATGATCCGCCGTGAGGGGAATCCTGTATAATGGCACCCTTGCACGCAATCCACGGCGCAGCAGACGACGACGAATTGACGAAGCCGACAATTGTACACCTGTAGCAGTAGACCAATGTGCTGCCAGCTGCCTGGAGGAAGCTGTGCGATCATTCACCGCCATGCGGAGCAGGTGTCGATCATCGCGCTCTGACGTCACCTTCTGTCGTCCAGTGCCTGTTTTTCGAGTTGTTCGGTGCTCGTCGGTCCACTGCTTCCAAACTCGCATCACTGTGGAACTGTTCCGCTGCATACGAGCTGCTATTGCGCGATAGGAAAATCCTCCTTCTCGAAGGCCGATTATCCTCCCTCGTTCAAACTCCGTAAGTTGCTTGAATTTCTTATTCTTCCGTCGTGGAGGCATACTCAGGTCTCACTAAACGTTTGCCACTAACAAATAATCATAGACTATTTTCAACGTCCCGCTACAGCACTTTATTTATACGCTTTCAGCATCAATTCAGAGGGCGCTGCGCGCGCCACGCACGCGCGATGGCTCTGAAACTTTATTAATTTGCATAATATCCTATATCCATTATTAAAATAATATTTCATTTGATTCTGATGATTCCTTCATGGTGTTGCATTTTCTACAAACAGCAGTTTATATACAAATGCATCTACAATTTGAAGACAAAAACATTCTATTCTAAATATGTCTTTAAAATGAAAGAAGGAAAAAGATCTAAATATACTATACTCAATTCTTTTTTACCATTAAATATATGTACAGTACAGAACCCGTTATCCGGAAATCAGAAAACCGGAAAACCAAAAAACCGGAACGAAATTTGATAAATTTTCTCGTCATTTAAAAAAAAAATTTTTTTTTTTCCTCATAAGATTTTACGATTTTTCTTTCTTTTTTAACGATGTTTACCTTACCATCATTTTGGAAATAATCATTAGTCTATTACTTCATCGTTTTTTCTTATTTTTAAGATTATTTCCAATTTTTTTTTTTTTAGTTGGGTTTAACAATAAAAAAACGGCTTTTTGTAGCGATTCAGAAAACCGGAAAAATCAGTTATCCGGAATAGCGATGGTCCCGATCGTTCCGGATAATCGGTTCCCTACTGTATTTGCTTATATCAATTTTCATGAACTTATTCAGTTCTGAAAACATTGGGGTCATTCTATTGGAATGGATTCCAAATAACTAAGTTGTTTCTGTTTGGAGTGTTCGTCTATTCAGTTCTGAAAACATTGGGGTCATTCTGTTGGAATGGATCCCAAATCACTAAGTTGTTTCTGTTTGGAATGTTCGTTTTAATATTATTGTATGGGTAATGGAATATGTGTTATGCCTCATGAAACATATTTTACTTTCACAAAAGATACTGAAAATAGTAATTAAGTTTCGGTGATTATTAATCTATTCAATATTTATAGATTGCCCCATTAAGAAAATTTCTAGTGGACCATTAGACAGTAGACTGTCTAATTCTCAAGACCAGACTGATGCTCTAGGTATGCATTTTAATTGTTTGCATGTTTTTAATTATTTTGGTATACATTAGTTTATATTTTTGATGAACAAGGAACATTCTCTATGAAAGTTTTAAATTTTTTATATAATATAATTTATAGTTTTTATTTTATTATTAATTTTTTATTTTTCATAATTTAATTATTTTATTTATATAATATAATTATTTTTATTGGATATAAGCCCCATGGTAGTATTGTGGCAACACACCAAAATTGTTGCAGAGTTTCAGCAGAAATATCTTTCATTTGGGAACTTGATAGATGACAAAACTTTTAGTTTTCTTTTCCGGTTAAATTTTGCAGAAGTAAACATTATTCTGCAAAAAAAAAAAAAAAAAAAAAACCCAACTTTTTTCACCTAGTTATTAATAATTTCTATATATTTCATACAATACAGGAAATTCGAATTGCACATTTGAATATTTACTTTTTGGCAATTATTTTTTCGTTTTTTTCAATCAATTTTATGGAAGTTATTGCTATTCTTTCTACATAGTTTTTAAAATCCTATGTTTTTAATACATTATTACAACATTCAAATCTTGAAACACGCAGCTGAGTAACCCCATTTTGAAAAGGTCAATCTGCAGTAGTTTGTCATTAATCCACGCAATTTTGTCTCTGATCTTTTTTTCTACAATTACTGCTGCAGATTTCAGATTTTTTAAAATGCTTTTTTTTTTAATTAACGTGATGATGACTTGCAAAATGGGAGGGGGGAGGGATTAAGAGTGTTCCCCCTTCTTCTAACTGCAAGAATGTTGCCCATAATATTGCAATATATATAAAATTGCAAATACGTAAAATTTTGATGAAAGTAATTTCAATTACTATTAGCTCTTTTACCTTTACTTTTAAAACACTTTCAAATTTTTTTTTTTTTTTTTTTTTTTTTTTTTTTTTTTTTTTAAAGACCATAATTTTAATACAACTATTTTGTAATTCTGCTATTTGAATATCATCTTTGTTCACTGAATTAAAAAATGTTAAAAGGGAATAATTTAGTGTAAATAAGTATATACAAAGTAAAATTAAATTGTAACTATAAATAAATTGTATTTTAAATCAGTTAAATTTCATCATAATCTTTTTTATATCAACCATGTGGAATCGAGTTAATAATATTGTAAAAATTCTTTCATATAGATTATTAAATACAAAGAACTGAGATAGAGACACTGATATTTGTTTTATCTTGAAAACACGCAAGCTCTGCTGTATGTGAAATGAAAATTCTAGATGTGGGATATCACTCTCGAAAAAAGTATTGGGGGTGGGGCTGGTCTGGTATTAGTTGTTGTCACTATTTGTATGAGAATATGGTTGGTGGTTTATTCAATATTTTATGAACATCATTGGCAATGATTTCACACATAATCTTGTATTAATTGTTTTAAATATTATAGAATAACTAGCTGTACCCTGCGTGCGTTGCAACGCTTTCAATTTGAATTTGAATTTTGTATTTAAGTGTGTAAATGACATTTGCGATTATGATTTGAAATGCAAATTTTATTTAATGGTGAAAAAAAGCAGTTAATTCTCTAGGATATCATTAGTGCATTTTCAAACAGACATGTATGGTGATGCACACGGAGCATGAAACATATTTTGGACAATGATCTGAAATAAGACTGGATCTATGGTGACATCAAGAATTTCTGCTGATATCTGATCAGTTTTAGAAGGTGGTTTTTTTTCAATAAGCCAAATTAGAATGTGTGCCTGAGGCAATCCTCGTTTTTGCCATTCAATAGAGTACACCCAACACCGTGTCTCTCTAAAAACATGACGCTTCACAATGAAATCAAGTAAAGATTATCATTTTTGTTTGAACACACGTGCTGTAATATCATGACGATCCGATGATGATTGTCCTGGTAACAAAATATCTCTAATTTCAACCCAAGCAGAATTGCACGTAAATGTAATAAATAAATCTAGGAGCCCATATGCGAGAACATATGTCATTGCATCCTGTGAGTATTCATACATGTGCCTTGGAGTCCAAGGCACATGTATGAATACTCAGACATGTATGAATACTACATTTGCAGGGAGTCCAAGTTTTTCTCCCTGCAAATGTAGTCGGCAATATAATCATTTTCCCCACATCATTAGGATTAACGTTACCATCATTAATTATTGCATCCCGTAAATGAATGCATTCTTCTGAACGTAATTTGGTTTGATTTAATTTAATATACAGTAGGCGTTCAGTTTCAATTTTCGCATACATATCGACAATGTATTGATGAACTAATTGTCGACATTTTAAAGTATGATTATCAGCGTTTTGGCAATCATTAATCTATATGCATAAAAACTTATTGCACTTGCTTTCTTATTGGTTTTCTCGCCTGTTTGCGGACTTCTTAATTTTATGTTAAAATAATATCCCTCCTCTCCTCACCAAAATAAAATAGGATATTGCAATGCATCATATGATCGATACGTTTCTGAGAACTCTTTGAACGTCACGATTTCTGCGATGAAGAACTGTATCGCGGGAGGTAAATTCTTCGCCAACTATAACAATAGCCACTTCATCCAATGTTGGCGCATTGTATTTTTCTTTGTGGTGGCCTACAGGTGTTTTTTCAGCTCTAATAACAACTTTGTAAATATCGGATGACATTTAGTCTAGGGCAATTGTGAACAGCCTAATTAACTGATTATGTTGATCGAAAAATTTTTGTAATACGGTAACAATTTTTCGTTTAGTGCCATTGTTTACCTGACAACGTTGATTGACTTGATCATTTGTGTTATCCATGAAATAAATTTGTAGAAATTTATGATCTGCGTTAGGCATTGAAAGAAGTGATCCTTGCACGATGATAAATTTGGCCTTGCACTTTGAATGTTGGGATGTAATTCTCGTTCAGGATACGTGTAGCACCGAATAAAGTCATTTAGAAACACGAATTGTACCGGCGTATATGCGCCAAAAAATGTTTCGATTGGTTTGTTTGACCTGATACGAAGGTTGATAATGTCTCGGCAGGCGACGTAAAATCTTGTAGTTTCTGTATGCTTCTAGAACAGCAAATTTCAGCTGTTTCATTTTTAAATTTGAGAGCATTACAAAACATACATAATTGATATATTTCTCCGATGATGACACTTGGGGGAAGACTATAGTTTGTTGTCGGATCATAGTGAAATGCACTGAAATTCAAATCAGAGTATTGGCAGCGTCTGAATAGCGAAATGCGTTCTCGGTCGGTTTTCATTCTTGCTTCCCGTTGCTCTGATGTTTCCGACGAACGGGCTTGTGTAGTTCGTAGTTGATTTGTTGACAGTCTTCTTTCCTGTTGCTCAGACGTTTCTAAGGAACGGGCAAAAGCATTCTGTTCTCGATTAGTTTCAAGTCTTTTTCCCGTTGCTCCGATGTTTCTGAAACACGGGTAGTTCTCTTTTTGCGCGCTTGAGATGTCGACCGACTAAGAGCGATTTGCTTAGGCGGCATATTTTTGCAAATATTCTTTCTGACAACGAAAAAGAAATGTAAAAGTTGGCAGTGGTCGCAAATTTGCTAAATCGAAATATCACATACATATTTTAAATAATAAAAAGAGCAATAAAAATGAGATGAATAAGAAATATGAAAATTATAAGATTTAAAACAAAAATCAATTTTATAAATGAAAGAAATAAAATGGATGAATTCGAAAACTTTGCATAAATAAACAAACAAACTAATAGTTTTCAAATGACAACTGTCACAGCACTGAAATCTTCGAAAAGTATATTTAATTTTGCTAACCTAAAATTACGTACTAAATATAAATATTTCTGAAAACGTGCAATTTGAATGAAATTTGCTTTTGTCTTTATATTTATTAAACAGTTTTCACAGTACTGAATCCGTGATACGACCAACAATTAAGAAATCTATTCTCGTTGATTTTACTTGCTTGTGCTCACCTGACATAAAGAAAAGCGCGAATTAAAAATTAAAGTATATGCAATTTACTTTAATTTACTTTTCTAAATGAATAGAGTTATAAGATAGAAAATATCACTGTTGTTATCTTCAAGATATTTGAAAATTGAATCGTTTATAGCAAAATTTAAAACAATGGCTAGCTTTTAACCAATCAGAAAATTCCATTTCGACTTTCACTGATATCGCTGGAACGGTTTATCGCACGGGATAAAAAGTATCCTATGTCCTTCTCCTGGCTCTAAACTACCTCCCTGCCAATTTTCAGCTAAATCGGTTCAGCCGTTCTTGAGTTATAAGTGAAGTAACTAACACGACTTTCTTTTATATATATAAGATATAAAAAAGTAGTTTTTATGTTTCGGTTTATTATTTCATCGATAAATCTACTTAGAAAAAGCTAGACCATTGCAATGTGTCCTTTCTTATGTGCATATTAGTGTGTTTCAGTTACCCAACCTTCCATCCAAAAAATAATAATAATTATTTGACAATATACTGTGTCTTCATCTGAAAATAATTATATAATTATCATAAAATATAACTGTGATACTACATAGTTAAATATCTTGTAACATAATTGAATTAACAATTATAATAATTCATTGTTATACGTTTTATTAAGACAGAGCTATCTGAAAGCGTTCTTTATCAAGAAATGTGTTGCACTATCGTTCAAAATTCTGCTCAATCTAGGCACAATACATGATGATTTGTTTTTCTGATTTTTTAAAGAGGCAAATAGTTCATTTTCAGTTGAGAAATGTATATTTTTCTATGTGAGGAGTTGTATATTATCTTTTGAAAAAATATTGGTAAAGTACTAACATTTTATTTTTGTCAATTGTTAACTACAATCTAATACATCAAAATAGGTAAAATGTAATTATGTTATAATAATGTTTCTTTTTTAATTGCAACACTACATTTGCTGTATTATGGATATGTCTTGCAGTCTAATACAAAAAAGAAGGAATTTACAGGGGTGAAGAGCACTCTTGAAATGTAAGGAAGTGCTGGCCTCCATGGGGATAAAATAAGTAGACACAAATTCAACATTTTGTAAAAAACACAAAGTAACTGTTGCTACCTATGGGGATAAAGTAAGAGGCGATAGTTACAACATTTCATAAAAATCACAAAATAAGTGTTGCTGCCTATGAGGATAAAGTAAGCAGCAACACTTATAATATTTATTGTAAAACATAAAGCAACTTTCTTCCTATGGGGATAAAATAAGTGGCAACAATTTCAACATTTCTTGAAAAATAAGATGTAACTGTTACTACCTAAAGTAAGCGGCAACCGTTACTTTGTGTTTTTCAAGAAATGTAGAACAATTATGTTTCTAGTTTAAAAAAATGTCCCTTTCACTCTTTATTTCAAAACTGTTGAGGGAAAATATATTTTCCTCAAAAGTCTATTGACCTTTTAGCAAATATTTCTTTAGTTTTAACAGTTTATATTTAGAAAATGTTTACATTAGTTTTGAATTGTTGATAGTGCCTCTCAAATCATTTAACTCTTAAGTTGTAAAATTCTTGTATTCTATGCTCTCTACTTTAGATTTTACTGTATATTAAAAGTTAATTTTTTAATAAATTCATTTTGTACTTATTGTAATTTATGTATCTTTTTAAATTGTAAGCTTTTTAATCCTTTGTTTAGTTATTCTTTTAGCCTTACTTTTTGCATTTCTAATTACAGTTTTTCTGTGTTCTGAACTTCAAGCAGCTAAGCTGATTTTCCTAAAGAAACCTAAAGAGTCTACACCAATGAAAATTGAATTAGTATGTCATTTTTATTCATATGCTTTATTTTAATAATATAAGTTGTAAATAAAAAGCATATGTTGGAAATATAAACTTATTATTTCCAATATTTACTAATTTTATATACAATATTTGAACTGTTCTTAGTATGTTCCAAACTTGATCATGTTTGATTATTGTAAGATATTTAATACTATATGCTGTTTAACTTACATGTTTACGCTGTTGACTGTTAGAATTGTGAGTTGATTTCATTTTGTCTTGTCTCAAGCAATACTTTGAAATTTTGATATTATTTTCTTTGAACAGATAAAACAAAAATACTTTCAAATTTAGTGAAAAGTTACTTAAGTTTTATACCATGCAAGTTTTATAACGTTTAAAAATGATTTTGTTCATGAATACTTTATTTATTTATTTTGTATGAAAGTATTTTTACAAGTTGTAAAATTGTATATAGAATGATTGAAACTAAGCAGAAATTACAAAATTTAAAAATATTTTTATTTTTTACTGAACATTGATGTACAACATAGCTAAAGTTAAAAAAAAAACTTAATGCAAAAGAAATTATTATATTTTGGGCATGTTCTTCTAATCATAAAGATTTTTAACTTTGAAAATCTTATCTTTGAAAACCTGATCATAAAATTAAATGTCATTTTTGTTCAAGTTATTTTAATTATTTGTTTTGTGTTATTTTATTGAATGTAAATCAAGATAATTATTTATGTTTACAGGTATTTCTCCAGGCCAAATTTACTACCGTTTAGCGGTACATTCACAAATTCAACTTTAGGAAAAAAATACTTTTTCTTGAAATTTTATTTTTGTATGCCGTAAGAAATTATAAATTCATATTATTACCATATTATTGTGTTGATTTTGTAATATAATTTTTGATTTTTACAAATTATGTCTAAATTCTCACAAAATAGGTTCCTCTCAGAAAAACCTAGACAGACCCCTGGTTTATGAAATAGCCAAATTTGTTCTTCCTACATTAAATATTCCTCTTAATTGGTCATCAAGATATCTTGTAAATGAATAATTTATTTGATGACTCATAATAAAAATATTTAAAAGATCAATCATTCAATTTGGATCAGAGCATTCCAGTTTTATGTTTAAATGTCAAGTTTGTTTTTTCTTTCTGGGACAATATTTATTTAGTTAAATTTTCAAAGTGCATGAGAAGCTGTGTATTTGTTTTTTTTTTAAAATTATTTTTAGTGTTAGTTTTCAAATGCACTCTTTTCTTGATGTAATACTATTTCTGACACTGTTTTTTTTTTCTCCCTCAATAAGGAAGAATCAAGAACAGCTAAAGAATTAAAAGAAATGTTAATAGCTCTAAGTTTTGGAAAGCCTCCTGATAGCATAACTACTCAAATGCTTTTTGGAGAAGTTGATAAAAAGGTAACTATTCTTTTAATAGGCATTATACATAAAGAACATTTTTTTAATAGGCAGTATAGCTTTTTTCTATCAAGAAATATGCCTTTATAGCATTTTCTTAACAAAAATAGAAGGAATAAAATTTTAAAAAAGTGATTAAATAATTCATTTTATCGCAATAAGTTATATATTCCTAAACATAGAAGTAGTTTTTTTAATTTGGTTCCTGTCATCTGGATGTTAGTGAATGACCAGTAAGTATTGTCTCAGAAGATGATGATTCTACTTCAAAATTTTTCAAAGTATAAAGCAGTTTATTTTTTTAAACAAATGAAAGGAAGCTAAAAAGGAAATATTTTTTAAAAATAATATCTAGATTAATCTAAAATCAGCTTTTCTGTGAGTTTGGGTCACCTAACATCAAAAGATTGCGTCGTATCAAGGATAAAAAGCAAAAATGAATGATGCTAGAATAGAAATTTTTTCTCAATTTCAAAACTCAAACTTTGATTTAATAATGTAAAGAGTTTTGAAACAATGATAAGTTAAGCCATTATTTCAATTTGCCCAGGAGAGTGTTTTTTATATACCTATCTGTAAACAATACTTTGAGCAGTTTGGTATAAAAATGTAGGATAGACCTATCACTAAACTGTCTAAATCCTTTTGTATATCGAAGTATAAAATTTAAGTAACAGTCTATATTTCATTGATTATGATTTTATATTTAATCTTTCTAAGTATTTTACTGTAACTGCATGTATTAAGGCTTACTTATTTAAAGAAAGTTTGAGGCATTGCAAGTTTTTAAATATAAATTTCATGTTAAAGACATTGGTTTTATTTCATTTATGTTATTGACATTATGCAGGAATATTTTTCACAGAGAAACATCATTAGTCTTACATAATATTTTCATCTTTACATCTTTTTCATATCATTTATATTCATTTAAAAAAAATTTCTGACTGACTGTAGCTAGGTGATTCTGTAGCTATTTTTAACTGATGTGTATACCTGTTTTATTTGACAAACTCTATACTGCAGTAAATATAATTATCTGATAAATTGTAGTTAGAAAAAGCAAAAGTAATCTTAAGTTAGATTAATTTTTTGTTTACCAAGTTCAAATGTAATATAAATATATTTTTATTTTGTTTGTTTCATTGTTATTGTTGTATTAGAAGCGGGATTTTTGTTAATTATCAATAATTAGTAACAGATTCTTTGATATTTTTTAAAAAAAATCTTTGTTTCAAAGTGTTTTTTTTTTACATTATATATTGTTTAAATGTAAAATGTTTTAAATTTTACTTGTAAAACTAATAGTGAATTTTTTAGGTTAAGTTATTAAGTCAACCTTTGCCACCCAAAAACTTTGTGGAGGAACGACTTTTCTCTGGATACTTGACTGAAAAGCAGTGGTTTCAGATTGATGATATGTATCGAGAATTATTTCAAGAATATCAAACAAGAAGGCAGCTTTTAATTACCAGACTTGAAGTGACAGTTGAATCATTTTTATGGTCTGATAGATTGAAGGTATTATTTGTTAATTATTATATAAAACCTAATAATTGGTTTATCAGCTGTACTATATATTGTTACGAATTGGCCTGTATGGTATGACTGACTGAGCTTATAATTTCAAAAAGTTACTTGTTAAAAGGTGAATTGAATAAATGAATTTTAGATTTTTTGAACTCATTCACTTTATTATGTAAAAATGTTTGGAATATTAAAGGTTTTAAATTTTCTATGCATATATTTTTATTTAATGCCTGAATATTGAATTAATATATATTGTCATCAGTAATTATTTTAGCGGCTGGCTGAATTTGCCGATTTTAGTGACACATTCTTGATTATTAAATTTCATATCATCAGTTGGAGGTTAATTTTAATCACAAAATATATTAAAGTTCAGTACATATATGGCTGATTTTCCTTCATTGATTCTTGTTCGTTGGAGTAATGAAAGTGATATTTCTAAATTCATTGCAGTTTCTTCTATAGGTTAATTAAAGCCGTCAAATATTTTCACAAACAATTGATGCGAATATTGAATAAATGTTTGTTATTCTGTAACCTTCAATAACTATTCTTTCCCATTGTTGTTCAAACATTAAAATAAACATCTAAAATTTAAAAAAAAAGAACGGCTTTTTATACTTTTTTAAAAAATGTTTTAAGCAGCATGTTTGTTTTCAGTCTCTCTCTCTCTCTCTCTCTATAAATATANTATATATATATATATATATATATATATATATAATTTATTTCAGCCTTTTTGCTCCATCACCAACATAAGCCAAATATTGAATTATTACTGCTGCCTTTAGTTACCTAATATGAAGTGATAACTTAAGAACATTTGATGTAATTATAGATTCATGTTCTATTACAATTATTTAATTTCGGAAGTAAATGTTCTTGAATTTGCTGATGGCTTAAATTGAAAAGTGGCCATGGATGATAATGAAGAATAAATTTCGCATTTGTCTTAGAATGCTAGAATTTTATCATTACAAAAATATTTAATGACATTAAAAAGAAAAAGGATAAATAAAATCGCAGAACAGTGTGTCTAAATAACAGGTTAGCATATCAAAAAAAAAGAAAGAAAGAAAGAAAATCATTTTAATTTTATTTTATCTTAATATTTTTTTATCATCAATAATAACCATGTTAATGAATAATTCCAGCCTAAAAATAAGCAGAATAAGGTATTTTTAGACCAACTAATATAAATTTGTTATTTTCACCTGTACTAATCATAAATAATGCATAATAGTATTATTTTTGGATGGTCGTTATTTTTAATTATTTATATAATCATTATAAGTAGCTTATTGTTCACAGCTGATATTAAAATTTGATTTTCTATTTAACAGAATAAAGTAGAAGAAATTCGAAATATGTTTAACAAGCAGAAACCTCAGTTATCTTTAAAACCTCTTGTGAAAATTTCAGACATTCTTGCTGCGTCAAGTGGTAAGTCATATATGTGTTTTAATTTTAATTGGTATAATATCATGTTGTTTACTGTTACTCTATTGCATTTTTTTTTGGATTCTTAATTGCTAAACATTTAAAAATTAGTATTAATATGAATCCAATTTGTAATAATTTAAAATTTGATAAGATGTACTAATAACTTCAAGTTAACTGAAATTTAATTTTTAGTATCAGTTTACAAATGTATAACAACGATCTTTTCGATATCAAGTTCATGTATTCATATTTTTTAGGAATATTTTCTCTTTCTATTAACATTGTCAACAATGCCTTTATAGAAATTTATACATTATTGCTGTGGTTTATTTCAGTGTAAATGTCACCCCTGTTTTTTTACGAGATGGCAAATTTCTGGTAAGTCGGGTATATAAGTCAACTGCTGTAAAAGCCAACTATAAAAATTTTTAAATTAAAAAAATAATAATAATTAAGTCTACAAAATTGTTTCAAGCAAAATTGTTTTGCTGGATATGATACATTTGCCTTTAAATAAAGATGAATAGCATTATTGAACCTGACACAGATGATTTTGTGGAATATTTGAATTAATAGCTTTATGGTATGTATTAAAAATTGACATTGTTATATGTTTTGAAAATTGAAAAATAATTTACACAAAATTATAGGAAGGTCCATTAAAAAATCTAGTTCTATTCATATTTGAGTTATTTTGATTTATAATCAATTGACTGTAGTTTAAGTTTATGCAGAGGATAAACTTTTCAATTAAGGCCCTGCAATTATTATTTTGTTGAATTGTTATTAAAATTGTCTTTTTTTTTGCCCTAAGATACTTTTTTTTTTAAATTAAAAGAATTTTTTTATTCCTAATATATAGTTTTCTTTAGATATTCGTAGTTATAATTGTCTTATTATCAATTTTACCTTATCAAAATAAGTTTTAACTATTTCTTTGAATTTTTAAGTTTAACTAATTGTTGTTTAAATTAACTGATAATCAAACGTTAAACGTGTTCTAAAATTCTTTTTTTCATTTTTTTTTTCAATCTTTGCTTCATTTTTATATTTTGTTTTGTAATTTCTTAAACTAGATTTTATTAAAAATTCTGACACAAAAAATTTTGCTAAATTACCTTAAGTCTAATTTACTACTATTTAATTCTAGAGTGATTTTGTTTAAATTAATTATTATTTTGTTTTTGTTAAATTCTTAAATTTTGAGATCTGACTTAATATAATGTTGGACTTAAATAATAACTTAACTAATAACTTAATAATCTGTTTGAAAGATATAGAAAATTAGACTGAAATAATGGGAAAAAATTGTAATAAAATCTAGCTAAATTGAATCTAGTTAAAGAATAAAATCTAGGTAAAGAATATAGTTGCTATAATCTCTAATATGGCTTCAACTGAAGTTGACAATGCTGTATTTCCTGGGTTATTTCTTCCTATACTTTTTCATGAAAAGTTTTCACTATATATCTTTTAAATCAAATGCCCTGTTTTTCATCAATGTCAAGAGTGTTAAAATTGCTGCTCACTGCCATCTAAATTATATTTATTTTAATTAATACATCTTCAATAATTCTCTTTAAGGCCGGGATATCCTGGTTGGTAGGGCACTGAATCCATGTCCAAGAGGTTGTGGGTTCGATGCTCTCCGGCCGAAGACTCCTCGTGTAGTTAATGGTGACTGATGCACGTTAAATCTGTCGAGTCACAAAGTCCTCCATGTTCCCATAACAAATCATTCCTCTGGGAGTATTGATCCAGGAGTTTCCTTGTCTTCTGGATTGGTTCAAAATTACAGGGCTACGGAGTTGAACATTAGTAGTCGTAAACCCGAAACTGAGTCGGCTGTTCATCGACGGATATAATAATAATATAATAATTCTCTTTGTGTTTAAAGTTGTGTGCATTAAAATTTTTAGTCATAGATATCTGGAGGGCGAGAAGAAATTTGTAATTTACTTCATGAAAAATAGAATCAAAATGTATGAGCATGATTATACATAATGTTTTCATTTCTAGATTTGCTTACAATTGAAAAAACTAGTTGTGCTGCTGTTAGAAAAAATACCAAATGTACCATAAACAAAGTTATAATTGGTTCGGTGAGTAGATATTTTAATTTTTCTATTTACTGCTTCATCTAATTTGTATTTAATCTCATCAGATTAAGTGTTTGTTCAAGTTCAAGTTTGTTAAGTGTTCAGATTAAGTAAACCATATTTTTAACGCAGAAAAATCAGCTGTGTAAAGTTTTGCAAAAGCTGCGATTAAGGCTCTGAGGGTGATGAAAAAGTAATAGCTAATGTGATTAACTTTAAATAATTCTTTTCAAGTACCACTTTTTATCTCATAAAAACACTGCTTAATATATTAAGACTGTGTTCTCTAAGAATCTTAAGCAGTATCAATAAAAAATTGAACTTTTAAAAAGAAGTTACAATATAAGATCATTTGAGTTCATCAGTTGAAATTTTTCATGAAATTGGTTTTTATAAAATCCTTAACATGAAACTAATTGTAGGTTCCAGATCGTGGTGGTCGGCCAGAAGAGCAACAGCCTCCCCCACCTGAGATTCCCAGCTGGCAAAAGAATGATTCTTCCTCAAGGGGTGGCTTTAACAAATCTGCTGACAACAGGTCTAGGCAAGGAGATAATTCATATCAGCAAGATAGGCAAAGACAATATCAAGCTCCTAGGGATGATCGGCAAAGAAAAGATCAGCACTATAGTCATGATAATTCCCGTCAACAATTTAGGAACCGTGATCCATATAATATGAACGACATGGCTAGGCAGCCGCCAATCAATGCAAACAGAATGGATTACAATCCTGTGTTCACGCCTGTTCAGCAAGTTAATCCATACACCTCTCAATTTGGATTCGGTGGCTATGGTCCAGCTGGAGATAACTTTTCTCAATTTGGAGGCTATGGGCAATCTGCACCTGTTGGAGGAGATGGTCATGGTCATAGAGGTGGTGGTGGTCGTGGAGGCGGAGGGAACTATCGGGGATCTAGACCTTATCGTGGTAATCCAAGGGGAGGAAGAAATCGATATTAGTTATATTGTATTTACTATTTATATTAAAAAGTCTGCTGTTTTGTTAACATATGTATACCTTTGTTATTTCCGTAATAGGAAAATAAATAAATTATGCTGACTGAAATAAAGAAAATCTAATCAACCATACAGCTCAGTTTTTTCTACATTTCTAAGTGTCTATTAAATGAACTGAGCTATAAAAACATCTAAGAATAGTAATTTATTGGATGTTAAAATCCGAGATAACTTTTTTATATAGATTTACATAGTATTAAAAACTTAGCACTTAATTGTTTATTGAATAAAATATTTTGTAGCAGAGATAATTAAAAATAAGTGTAAATTGTTGGCCGTCATGTGTCTTTATACTTAAAACTAATATTTGGTTTTGCTTTAAGATAAGTAAAATGAGTTTTCCTTAATCTGACATTATTCATCATGAATTTTTGAAATCTTATGGAAACCCTAATTTTTCTTAAATATTTCATTTTTCAAAAAAAAAAAAAAAGATATCTAGTTTTATATTAATAAAAAACATTTTCCAAAATAATGCAAAGTTCAAACTGCACTTTTTATCTTTCCTAATAACCCCTTGTCTAAACCTACAGAATTTTATCAAAAAATTACCTCACTTTTTAAAGTTTAGGTACTAGGTTATTACTGCAATTTTTGGTTATTTTGAAAATGCTGTTTTATAGTTTTTCTCAGCAGCACCATCTGTTGATGAACATAGTTGCTAATTTTGAAATTTGTTTAGTAGAAATAATTTGCTTTCCTAAATAGAATGAATCTAATCTTACATTTCTATCCCTTTTAAATTTTCTTTAATTAATTTTTTCAAATTGTCAGTTAATTATATTGTTACAAATTTATTTATGTGCCTCATACATTCTTACTAAACTGCAAAATTTGTTATGTATTTATGTTTTCTTTTTAAAAACTCCTTTACTCATCTTTTTGTCTGAAATTTCCATAGATTTCAAAATTCATACTCTTGTTAATATAATATTAAACTATGCAATCTCAGAATAAAGAAAATTTTAATTAAGCACTTTTTTTTATACTTTTGTATGAATCTGTGATAATATTTTTCAGTACAATATTTTGAAAAGCTACTAGCATTTTTTTCTTAATTCTACTGTTTGTTTTTTCTAGTTCTACTGTTTATTGTAACAAAATGTATGAACTTATTATATCTCTAGACAAATGCCTTATTTATCTCTTCTTTATTAGTGCCTGCTTTTCCCATACCTGTTTGAACTTTCATTTTGTACTTCATGAATATTCCTAATAAAGTATTTTGAATGCATTATTGCTTACTTTAATGTAGTCATTCTGTTGTAGTATATAATGTAGTATGTAAGACAAAATTAATGGTCACAGGATATAAATATAACAAATGAGGACTTAAAAGTTGTTAGTTAATCCCACCTGATCACTTTTTTTGTGTCAAAAATGTATATGTGCATTTTATTAGTGTATATATATATATATATNTATATATATATATATATAAAAACCAATATGGAATTATTATATATAATTTATAATACTCTGAATTTTACTTTAATTTCTTAAACTTTTTTGAAAATGAACCTTGTATTGTTTACTGTATTTTGAGAATTGCTTAAAAATATTGCTATGGATTTTTAACTGTTTAATTGCCAAATAAAGAAAGGATTATTCAAATAAAATAAAAAATACAATAAAAATTTAAGTGTAAGAAATTTTTAAGTGCCCTTTTACTGACAGTTACACTTAAGCTATATTTCAGTATATGTCTTTGGGTGGAATAGAATAGTATTCACTACAGAATTATTGGAAAAGTGTTCAAAAAATTGTAAAATATAAGTTTTGTAAATGTATTAATAGTTTACACTTTTGGTTAAGCTTAAAATGATAATATATTGACAAGAAATTCAGCATATTCTCCAGAAAGAAATATTTAATAAAATATATCAATAGGAACACAGTTCACGAGTTCAGAAATTTCTTGCAAAATTGTTATAAGCTCTTTTAATTCTTTTGGATCATGAAATTTCATTTTCTTGTTTGACTTGATAACAGGAATTTTTATTTGCCTTGATCCATGAATTTGATTTTTTACTTTACAGCCGAGATGAAATAAAATTTGTAAATGTGAATAATTTTAAAAAAAAAGAGTGCTTGCTATTCTTTAACAAATTTGGTAACTAAAAATTTATCTTGAAAATAATATAAATATCATAGAGGAAAAACTATTAATAGAGAGAATCTATTCAATGTCATTATTGAAAATACAGTATACTCTCGATATCTCAAAGTTGAAGGAAAACTAGAAAAAATTCCAGATAGCGAGTTTTCAAGACAAAAAGTTCCGAACTAAATGTGATCTAAAATGTAGAAATATATATTCTTAAATAATTCTATAAAAATTAGACACGTGAAACGTGAGAATAACACTAATAAATATGTATGTAATGATAGTTGACTATGAGTCTGAATACAACAATGATAGTTTTATTTTTAAAAGTAAGACAAAAATAATTATGCATTAAATAGAAAAAAAAAATTGGTTTTCATTGGTTGTGATTTTTTCAAAAAAATAAATTTTCTGTTTAAAAAAAAAAAACTGACCTAACAAGGTTTTGGGGCGAAACTCTTTGACGTAGGAATTAAAATTAGCATTAGGTAAATATAAATTGCCAAGATAAAAAAATATTTTTTTGGCATAACAAGACTTTTGAGATATCAAGAGTATATTGTTCATTTAAAAACCACTTCGATGTTAAATTTTAACGTTATCCTTGACAAATAACACAAGAGAAAGAGTAATACATTTTCAAAGCCCTTCAGAGCATCAGCCCATCAGAAAGAATTTCTTTTTTTAATTAGAATGTCAACAAAAGAGAAAAATTCTGATTATAAATTAAAGCATTCCTTGCATTACTTTTGAAATATTGTCATAGCCTCTGCCACTTTATTTGATGTTTGCAAATTCAAAAGAAGTTGAACTTGGATACATTCATCCCCCCTTTTTTTAATTTAATGCCATTATATTTATTGAATAAGTTTTATAATAACAATTGAATGAAATCCACATAACTCTATGAATCCCAGTAATCTTAAAATGCCTATGTTCCAAGAATGGTATAGTTGGTATTTTACTAATGTTTTCATTTTTAAAACAAAATTTTTATTTGATGCATAATAGACGGTTATATTATGTTTTTAAAAAATTATGTTTTAATTTTTTTAATTGTTTAAAATTTTCGATTTTCGTATAAGTGACTACTTGTTTAAAAAAAAGAGCCACTGTTAAAAATACTATCGCTGACTACTGGACGCTGACTATTTCCTAATTTCGCCCTTAAATCTCGTATAATATTATGTAACTAAAATCTCATACTTGTAAAACAAAAAATATCATTTAAAATGTTGTGAAATTTTGACTGTTAAGAAATGTGTATGTAAGCTCAGTCCTAGCTCTAAGTAGTTTTAAGACTCTGATAGGTTTGTGCTCATAATAAATTTTTCTTAAATTTTTTTACTACTCTGTCAATACTCTATATAATATCCGTATATATATAAATTANTATATATATATATAATTAAGGAAGAAAGAATCTACTGATGATGGAAAGTTGTCTATGGTGAAGATATATGCTGTGGCTTTGGTGGGTTAAAACCTAATTGAAATTGCATTATGTTTCTACATAAAAAGCTCTTAAACTTTCATAAGGCTGTGGGAAGCATACTTCCCACCTACTTCCTTATATTTAACAGCCCATGAGCTAGCTCAGCATGTCAAAATATTGAAAAACCGCAACTAACTTAACTACGCTTTGATCAAAAAGCCGAGAAGCACCGGGCCCATGTCCATGAGTTCGTGGGTTCGATCCCAGGACGGCAGAAGACTCCCCGTGTAGTAAATGGTGACTAATGCACGTTAAATCTGCCAGTTGCAAAGTCCTCCATGTTCTCATAACAAATCAATACCTCTGGGGGTACTGATCCAGGAGTTTCCTTGTCTTCTGGATTGGTTCAAAATTACAGGGCTACGGAGTTGAACATTAGTAGTCGTAAACCCAAAACTGGGTCAACTGTTCAACGATGGATATAAAATATAAAAACTAACTTATCTGGACTACAGTACTACTTGCAAAAATGTTCAAAATCTTTTCATATTTGCAACCACAGTTAAAAGAATTATTACGGTTGCAATTTTATTATGTGCGTTTTACCAAAATTAATTTCGTGTTTATATTTTTGCAATCGTGGATCCGTTATACCATTGCTAAACAAAGGGGCAAAAGTCTAAAACAGCCAATAGTCAGAATCTGGCTCTTTTACCATCAGTGCTTATATTTGTTCATATTTTAATTGATTTTAAAATCACGGGCTGCGCTATGATTTCTCAAACAAGGACTTTACTTACGTATTTTGTTAGAACTTTATTGGTATTGACTTATGTTTCTATATAAAATGCTCTCAGCCCTTTATAAGGCTATGGGAAGTATCCTACGCACATACTTCATTATTTTTAAATTTCAATACGATGGTATTTTACCCTGTATGACTTGTGCAGGCATGTGCTGATAACAGTACAAAAAAATGAAGGCCTTTGTTTACATAAATGTTTACAAAAATATTTGTTTACTAAAATATGAACAGTATATTACTGTTAATATTGTTACGCATTATGCTATCGTTTATTTGATAATTTCTCATCCTGTTTATTTGAAGTTATAAACTCAGAATTAATAAATTCGCAGAAGTTCAAGATTATGGCCAATTTTTTTTTTTACAGTAATTAAAATTTTAAAAATTCCATCCATCTTCCCACGGAAAAAAAATGCTCCTAAAAATCGAATTTATTCAACGTATTTTTTTTCTTCTTGATCTATCTCGCTCCAAATATATTTTAACTTCACATTACCAGAAAAAATGGCTCCCACTGATGGCAACTCTTTAAAATTCTTTTCAAAATGTTTTCAGACAACGTTTGGATAATGGAGAAAAGGTAAACAAAGTCTAACCTTTTACTTTAAATTAAGTTATAAGATAAAGGAACACATTCATCTGCGTTGAGAAAAATAGACCCAACAGGAGTTAATAAATGACGCAGTTTATTTTAAGCAACGGAAGAAGGAATGTAAAGGAATAGAATGATTCTTCTTGCGAAATTCTTCTTAACTATCTTCTCTAACTGGTTCTTTTCGAATGTTTCTTTTTTAAAAAGAGTCTAGTGCTGTTTTTAACTTTTTCTTAGGAAAACATAGTTTTCTGATGGCTACATCTGACTGTAGCGTGTTGGCTGTAAAAGGGACATACTTATATTTGTGAAGCTTAAGGAAAAATCCTTAAGGTTATTGTTATATGAATAAAACAGTGCATTTTTTCTGAAAAGTTTTTTTTTATGTGAATAAATAATTAGCTATTTGTTAGATTTTTGTCTGAGAGAAATTATTAGATTAAGTTAAGAACAGCCATAGATTTTAAAAAGAATTAGTTAAGAAATGTGAAAATGGAGAATTTAAGACCTTATCGTGATACAATGAAATGCCTGTTTTTCTATGTTTTCATATTAATAAAATGGTGTGTCAAAATACCCTTATTTTTAGTTTTCAAGAAAAATAAAGACGCATAACGCAATAGTAATTAACACAAAATGTTTAGAATAATGAAATAGGTAGTAAAAGTTACAAAATTAGTTACTCGAGGTTTAAAAATCCCTTGACACGAATCTTTGTAATCGAAGTTGTACATAAAACATGAAATTATCCATTAAAAGTAGTAATGAATATGCCATAATTTTTTTTTTAATATTTCACCTAGTTTTTTAAATTTTTTTATGGTGATCATTGTTTCTCAATTAGGATCCTTATATCCTTCTTTAGTTATATTTACAGCTACAGTGCTGTTAAGAGAGTTAGTGATAAAAGATGGGACATCACGTGGTATATAATCTTTTATCAAACATTGACATTGGTTGTTCTGATGTTAAGCCACAAAATTACCATAGCAACCTGGTCTAAAAACTTTAAATTTATTAAAATTTTTATCAATTAATATTATTGTGGCAACGTTCTTCAAAGTGTTTGACTAAATATTAAATAATTGAGAGATTTTGCAAAGCGTTACGGTTCTGTTTAACGTTAACGCTCCACTGCGCATGTGTGAAAATTTCTCAACAAATTGCCTTATCGATAAAGGGTATGAAATAAGATGAGTGTTATGGTTAACCATAACGCTCATCTTAATTATCGATTATTAGATAAGCTCTATGCAAAATCTCTCTAATTGTTCTCTTAGTTATCCACTATTCTTTGTACTTAAATTAAATTTCATATGACATTCTATTAATTTGTATTAACATGTATTTTCACTTTTAATTTTATAGCAACAAAATAACATACTATATTTGACTTCCTTCTTAATTTGTATTAAATACTTTATAATGTTTTTTTTTTTTAATTTTTTTTAAGTAAATAGGATAAACTTAGATGTCTTTTAAAACTAGAGATCAAATTTCTATATTGGTTATAATACTCGTACTTAGAAGATTTTCTAAGTGCGAAAATTTAGATCTAAAGTGAGAAAATTTAATTCGTGAAGAAAAAGTCATGTTGTTATGGTCAAACTTTATTACAAACAAAGATGTTTTGAAAAAACAAGCGTAACACGTTTTGGAACAAAACTACATAAACATTTGTTAACAAAATCGATATCATGGAAAGATAGTTGCTGAACTGTTAGCTGTACACACGGATGACTATACATATATTACAAAAATAACATTAACATAATCAGACTGTAATAATGGCAGATTACATTCACATAATTGAAAAGCACCTTTTACATTGAACAGTATTGTCTTGTATGGCAGGTTCAGAGCAAATGGGATTTTCAATAAACATAATGCAGATGGAGTAATCAAATAGATAATTTCCTATATATTCATAAATGGAAAATTTAGTTTAATACAAAGCAATCGGAAATAAAGTAATGACGTTTCAACTATTACTTTTATATTTTTGATAGAAAATTTAATTTAGTACTATTGGAGAAGGAGTAATTGCGTTTCAATAGACAATTACTTTTACGCTTTTTCTTAAAAAAATTTAATTTAAAACAAGAAATATTTTTTTTTCCAACCCAATTTTCGTACCATGCGATAAGTTTTGCAAGAAAAACTGTCCAAAAATGACGTCAGACGCGTATAATCAGCAAAAAGTTTTGACGCGTGAGATATATTTAGTTTTATCGCCTGGTGCTAAAATCGAACTATTTACTATAATATTTATGTTTCTGTCTTTAGAATTAAAGATATATTGAAAATTATCCTAAAAAATAAGTACGTTATTTATAACAAATACAAGGAGGAGAAAAAGAATATAGAAAACACTTAAATCATATATCCTTTCTCTTGTAGCACCATATTCATCATTTAAATATATTTTTTACAATATTCATACATAAATCTTTTATAGATTTTATTGCACAAACAATTCACACAATCTCAACTTTGTTGGCCACCACATTTATCACTAAAATTATCCATAATATCTGGACAAAATTACTGCTTTGGTTTTGATCTTCCCACAGAATCTTAAATAATAAACTTTTTTTATGCAAATAAAAAAATGGCGATATTTACGAAAGAGTGGCAATATTTTCACTGTTCTTACCTTCATAGCAGTTTTCTATTAGTTTTAATTCTTATTTTATACATTTTTTTTTTTACCTTTATTGAATGTCCAGTGAAAAAATAATTGATAGTTATGCAATCTATTACGAACTCATCCTCTTCGTGAATTATACTTTATTGATATGTATTTAGTTTAATTTTTTATTCCAGTTTATTTTTTTTATTCGCAAATTGTTAATGACGCAGTGTGTGTGCTTATGAAATTCTTCTCGCGACAGAGTCTTGATACTTAAAAGTATTTTCTTCGTTTAAATTGAAAAATGCGATGAATGTTTGACTAGAACTTCGTTGTAGTTCCAGAAGCGGTACTGTTGTAGTATATCATCTTTTGCAAGTACAGTCAACAAACCAGGGTTTAAGTGCTTCCAGCGCTTTAAATGAATTCTGCAGTCCGGGAAAATAATGTTAAGGGATGCTTGTGAGGTAATCGTATTCAGAGAATAAATGATAGTGCGGTGAACATAGCTGTCAAAACGGATGGAATAAGAGTTGATCCAGAATTTCCAGAAATTTCCACTACTCTGTTATCTATCGGTTGGGGTGGTCGGAAATTGTCTATTAGGGGCTCTGCCGCTTCGCCTTTGTCATCCTCAGTGATTTGACGGAATTGCTCCAGCTGGAAGGAAAAAAAAAAAGAGAGGAAGAACTTATTAAATCATGTTGCAATTTCTAAGAAAAATAAAAATGTTTTGACTATGACTAGTTTGTCTTTAAAGAGTTTTCAACCATCTCTTTCTTTGTCAACAAAAGTGAACACATCCATACATTCATGTAAGATTTTTGGAAATCTGAAATTCTGAAGCCCTTTCTTATGATCTTCCTTAAGATTTATGCTTTATAATAATATAAGTTTCAAACATTTTCTGACCGCCTCATCCAGAATTCTTATGCTTTGTTATCGCCATAAAGAATTTACCCACAAATCTCAATCAGAACTCTGTTGCCAGATGACAATACAAGTTTCAGTCATATTCTGACTGCTAGCAGCAGCATTTATCACGAAATAAAATTAATCAACAACAGACTAGAGTGTTCAAGCTTCATCTGGAGCTCCATGAGTGACCATGATACAAGTTACAATTGTTTCTTGCATTCAAAAAGCGCAATTTATCTTCATTTTGTCACCAATGGAAGTTTCGACTACTTTCTGACACAAACAAATGTGTTTTATGTGTGATAAAAATCGAAACAATTCTATTTTTGTATTCTATTTTATCATAATTCTATTCTATTTTCATAAAACGAATACATTAAAAGCATAACTTTCGTAATTAACTTCTAAAATCGCACAAAACTTCCTCCATTACTTTTGAAAGTGATGTGTAGCACCTCTTTTTGTTTGTGACAAAAAATAAATTTGCTCCATTTTAATCCTTTTGAAAGACTTAATTTTTAAAATTTTTATTTTATTAATTTAAACTTGATGTTTTATTGTTTAATAAATCTTTTAATTTTATCATTATCTTAGTCTATATTTTAAAATGAAAACAAACCAGCTAAGAAATCTACCTTTTCCATAAAAAAGATAAAGGATGAAAAATTTTTGTTTTAAAATTATAATAGTTTTGCTTCTGTACATTCAGAAACCTGGCTATGTTTATGAAAATTTACGTTGGTAATAATGAAATAGGTAGTCTACTTGCCTATGGCAGAACAATATTAAATTCTGTAATTCAAAATTTAGAGCATTTTAGTAAAAATGGCATTCTTTTTCTTCGCAGAAATCGTTTGATGCCACACCGTAAAAAACTACTACAAAGCCAGTCATAAAAAAATTTATAGCTCCTAATTCTAGACTGCGTTTTTCTTTCCACTATTTTAAGAAAAAGCAGTGGTTTTTCTTATTTCTTTTCCTAATATAACTGCATTGTTTTAATAATACATTAAATAAAGCAACTGACATTCCTTAAATGCAAGACACGGCTGTTTAAAACTGTATTTCCTTTTCTTTTCATTTTAAATGATCTGTGTCATATAAACTATTGTTTAAATTTTTAGTACTCAATCTTATGACTTCTTGAAATGAAACATAAATTTTTTTTTTAAAAGCAAATATTGCTAACTGGTTCGATATGTTACGCAATAACTATTTGAATCATCGCGCAAAGAAATATTTTCTTTCAAAAAGAATTGTTTATTGTTTTTCAATATTATTACTAATTTTTTAAATTAGAAATGATGAAATTAGTAGGGAATATCTGAATTTGAATGTCTTATCTAATTTGAGTGGTTAATACTTGCATAATTTTATTTTTTATTCGGTAAGGAATTGCAAAACAAAAATTTATATACATACTTGTAACTTCTTTAAATTACAAGACTACGTAATGGTTTAATAAACTTTATGTAAGGCGCATTTTTAGCCAACCAAGCTTCCAAATTATGACAAATGATAGACCTCTTATGTATGAATTGATGCAATTATGTTGCCTTCTTAAGATCAACAATGATTCTGGGACACAGCAGTTTACTTCCCTTCGCATTACTTTTCTCGTCACTGTTATGACACTGTAGCTTTAAACGACTTAAACGATATTACACTAGGTTACGCAATGTTATTTAAGTTTTGGTTGGCCGATCCCGTTAATCAAACTAAAAACCTTTTTGAATTTTTTTTTTAATTAACTTATTTTAGCAGTCTTTAGTTAGCTTTTAATATGCCTTGCTCTTCATCTCGCTGAATTATGATATGATCTCACACATTAAGAAGTTTTTCTCTTTATTCTCTGTAGTAAACTATGGATAGCACCGATGAGAAAACTTCAAATAAAATCGCCAAATTGTTCGCCAACTTCAAATAAAATGACTTTATAAAGTTCAGTGTAAGTCAAAAATCTCACCTGTCTTCTGCTGATCTCTGCATAATCTTTAAAAACAGTCCATGTTACAACTTCGAGACAAGGTGGCGTTGTCAGTGAACCCTTGTAACGGTAATATGGCATAGTTTCATCGGGTAGAAGATCTTTCAAATTGAATGGATCCACTTTTTCTTTAGAGTTCTTTTTCTTTAAATGCTCTAGTTGCTCAATGATTGGTTCTAAAGCTTCATTGTCCTCATCGACAACCTGTCAAAATCATTAACATTTGTCAGTAACGCGTAAATAACGATTTATTGAATTACTCTTTAATGAAACCGGTTTGGAAAATCGCGACTTCATTAAGTAGTTTTTGAATACTCTCTGGGAATCACGAGATGGTCCGAGAGCTCGCGAGATTTTGTGAATTCGAAAGATTGTGATGATTGGAAGAGTTTTTATTAAAAGCACTAAGAAATGGCAGTTAAAGAACAATATTCTACTTTTCGATTTAATCAGTTTTCAGTTGAATATGTTGAAAAATGAAAATTATGATTAATTAATAATTATTTTTAAATTAAATATTTACGCTGTTTCAAAGTAGGTAGCAAAATTTGTAACTACGTCTACAGAAAGTGCATTTGTTTAACTACAGTTTTTTTTTAGGTAGTTTTATTGAAATGGTTGTTAATAGTCAATGTTGAAGAAACTAAGTACTTCCTAACACAAAGCAGTTAAATATTCCAAATGTAAATATATATGCATTTTTTAAATTTTTTTTAAATGGATGGTGTTTTCAATAGAAATGTAAACAATAATAATCTCGAGCTCGGCACCTACTCTAGTTCCGGTTAAAAAGTTTGCAGCTGCTTACTACATGCTATTCTGATAGCCGATATTTTCAAACGGATAATTTTGTTTTCAATAAAAGAAATAAATTAGATAATTTCTGAGCTCAAATCTGCCATATTTCATAAGATATTAATGTTAATATGTAATTCTGGTGAGTTTGAAGTGAAAATTTGTTTTAGTTTTTTAGAGAGATATTGTTAAAAAAGGTGACATGGTTGCTAGATTTTGAATAACTCGCTTTTTTGGCAGTCTTGATATGGCCTCTTTCCATAAGTTCATTACTGTTTGTTCTTGTTGCAAGCTGTGCACCATCTTACGTCAGTGTTAACACTTTAAGCATTGTAATCACCAGTATTGTTCGCATTGTAAGCACAAGTAATAAGTAATCAAATACATTGTTTGCAAGAATCTCAAAACACAATGATACCAAATGTCTTTAAAATACAACGGAAACAGTAACCCGGAAATTTAGGCGGTACCGAGCTTGCAGCGTTCCCTAGTGCAGAAAACACCATCCATCACACTAATTTCGGAAAAAGTAAAAGATATTTGTTTTGTTCTTCTACAATTTTTATGTAATTTGCTTAATTGAAAAAAAAGAGAAGAATGCAAATTCTATGTATTAAATACATAATTTCAAGTATCCAGTGAAACACATGACGTCTCGATCCAAACGATAGTACTTCTTGATTATAGTTCCGAAATGGCTATCAGTTTCTTTTTCTTCTAATTTATGGTATGTACTCTGTTTTTATATTGATTTAGTTGAGATCCTTAAAAGTCTCTTAAGTAATAATTTAAATCGAAAACACAATTTTTTTTGTTGTTGTTGAAAAAAAAACTGTGTTTTGGTTTATTTTTATTGATTCATGAAGTATAAAGTGTTATGCACATAATATCGCACTAGATAGATGGTCTATTTTGTTTGCAAAAACGGTTTCTTCTTTTTTTTTTGAAATGCCGTTTTGCTGTTTGCATAATTGGCCGAATTTCATTGATATGGTGCTCACTTTCCTTTTTTTAAGGCATAGCTCAACAATGGAAACATGTTTTTCATTTGTGCAGCGCTTTATTTTTAACACTCGCTTACGTTTTCGATCTTTGGCAAAGTTTTATTACACGAATGGCACAAAATTCATATTTTTTATGAACTTTGGGTCAGACTTCAGTGAATATTTTGATGTAGAAGAAAAATTCGATGGGTACAATTAACAAAAATGAGTTTTAAAGCGATAGCAATGAAAAAAGAGCCATTTATCAGTAATCTTGTTTAAAGATCCATATGTGAAATACTGTCAAATTATGCCTTGACGAAGTTTGTTGAAATTTAATTAAGTTATATTTCGCAACATTTTAAATGAAACATCAAAGTTATTCGTGAACTAAGACCAACTGTTCATAGTATATCGAACACACAGAGTTTAAGATTTTCAGAAAAAAAATCACGCATACATCAAATAATTTTATTTCCAAAATTTTTTTTAATATATTTTAATTTTCTTATTTTTGCCTTCCATTTTTCGTTATATTTTGTCCATTTTTTTAAAAGAATTAAAAGGAAATGCTAAGCGACAAAATAAAATAAAACTAAGTCATATTTTTGATATTACATAGCCTTGTTATTTTTTAAAAGAAGATTTTTTTTATGAAAGCAAATGAGTGCAGAAACTGTATTAAAAACAATAATTAACCGAAAAACAATATTGTCACTTGAGCAAAGATAAAAAATTAGTTTGTAGTTAGAGATAAGAATTCCATTTAAATCTGAAAAGGAATTTAGAAGAATTCATAATAATTGCGTTGTTTTGAAGTAATGCTTTGTGAGAAAAGAATAATTAGTACTCATTCTTAACCAATTCATAAAAATTAAATAAAATCCAATTAATTTTTGTCCTCCCTTGTCTACCAAAAATGCTCAAAAAAATTTTGTTAAGTAAAATTTGCAAAGGCTGCAATATTTTCATTCTTAGCTTTATTCAGATTTAGATTTAATATCTTAGAAGAAGATATGTTTTACAGCAGGAAGAAAATGAGGCAAATAGTTCAACCATGAAAATTATGAATACTCACTTTAAAAAGCACTGCAAGAACTGCAAATCCATCTTCTCTGGATTCGGCTTTTTCTTTGGTTGGATAGTTTTTATTCCTACATACCAAATGCATCTGAAATTCAGAATACGTGAAGTTTTAGACATTATTTTTTAAAAATTTGTTATTTTTAAATTTTTCTATTTATTTTTAATTTTTATTATTTTTAAAGTGTATATGCTTATATATACCGTCATTCGGGGCTACTTTGTGCAGCGGGGGCTACTTTATGCAAATTCGAATTTGGCATTTTTCAAGTGCTGCTATTCAGTATTATGTTTATTTCACGTTAAAAATGTGTGGAATTTGAAGATAGAAGTCTCTTCTATTACTACAAACATTTTTTCGAATTTTAAAACAATCTCAGAGTGTGTTTCGTTCATCCAATGTCAACAACTTTCCGAGGACGTCGGATGTCGAAAAGTGTGCGTGGAAACTTTAGCTGTGAAATGCAAAGACGTTGATAAAACAATTGTCGTAAGTGCAAAATTTTTTATTTATATATTAATAAACAATTATATCATGTTAGCGTTAAAAAAATTTGAAAATTAATAACAAATAAACGGAAAATGAAAAAAAATGCACTTTGGGGCTACTTTGTGCAAAGTTTCATTCGTTTTTTTTTTCGACAGAAAAATGGTCAGACGTTATAAAAAAATACCTGGAACGAGAAACTACCGTGATTACACTTTAGAAAAGCTGCAACAATGTTTGCAAGCAGTTGCTGGTGGTATGTCGATTGCAGAAGCTTCTCGGAAGTACAAAATCCACAGAAATACTATCTCTAATAAAATTCACAAGAAACACGTGAAACTTCCTGGTAAACTATTATTTTTCTTCTACAAAGATTTTTCTAATGACTTAATCAAACGATTTAACACATAAAAATATATTTTATAGGACATCGGGTAATTTTGACAGAAACTGAAGAGCAAGTTCTGTCATGTTCATTCAAGGATGTTATGTTCAAATTTAACAATATTATAAATGTTAATGAATATGTAATAATTATTATTTTTAAAATTTCATCCATTTCAATGTTTAAAAATGTATATGGTTTTCTTTTGTTTAAACTCAAATGTTTTGAAATAAACATTCTTTTTAAGAAAAAAATTCTTCAAAAAAATGGTTTTTTAACGCTGAAAATTATTTTCAAACTAATATCTTTACATATCTTGATGTTTTTGTCTTTAAAAATGTCAACAATTAACTTTTTTAACAATTTTATATCAATATTTTACTAAAAACATGATTATTAAACTGAATTCCTATCGCTGCACAAAGTAGCCCCATTTGGGGGCTACTTTGTGCAAGGTATGTTTTGACTTATTACTCGTAAATATTACATACAAATAATGCCAATATTTATCAAATTCACTCGTCTGAGTCCAGTTATGAATATAATATCGATAAATTTTACTAAAGTTTGAATTAACATAGTTTTTTTACATGTCAAAGTTCAAAAACTGCGAAATCCTGCACAAAGTAGCTCCGAATGACGGTAGTTTAAATAAAAATAACTTAAGCTAAAAACGACCTGCAGAACAACTACTGCGTCCACTAGCATCGTAGCAAACTAAATGCTTGAGGAACCAAGAGCTGAGCTCTAACCTTCGTCATAGCACTTCATCGCACAATATTAATTTCTACAATGAATAAGTACCCAAAAATGAAGATGTTGAAAAGAGGAGATGAACTTCCTATTTACGATGTAACCTTACACTTGTTTTGAGTGGTCGACAGCATATCGGTCCTTATTCAGTACCTTAATTTGAAAATGTTCTTATAAGAGACCTATCAACCTCAGTTTAAGAAACTTTCCATGTAAACCATATCCGTATAGCTTCCGTAGAAGGGGTGGGAATTGAAACTTACCTATTATTGTTGTGATTGGTTAGACAAGAACTTAAACAGATAAAATTTATGCACTTATCATTGGTCTGATAAAATACTGATTTTAATTTTATCCTGCTATTTCATATTTGGAATTGTAAAAGAAGGGTGATTGCAGGGTATACCTGGGCACCATCCTACCATAGCCAATCATTAGTCCGTTTAACAGGGTTCTATCTTTTAATGGTCATTGTGGTACAACGCCATACAATTTAGATCTCTGTCAGACAATGTGGACAACGTCTGATCCGTTACCTCTTTCTCCAAACTTCATTAAAACAGCAACGAAACGCCACTACACTGCACCTTGCTGTGATCTGACCACCAGAATCAAACACAAGACTCCCTGCTTTCTTATAGCAGTGGGGTCCTTGCCCTAACAGATTGCGTTACTGGAGCTTCATGCATTGACTTCAGTGACCACTGGCATACAGGAGTGTATAGGTATCACGCAATAATTTCCTAATCAAATAAGAATTGAAAAATAATATTAATTTTTTTTAATCTATTTCAGTGCTTGAGAATCATATTCTCAGATATATATGAACATTTTTCTTCAAAACAATAAATTTCATTTAAATTCTCACTGTCAAAAGCTGCATGAGAGAGCGAATCCAACAAACTAACTAGCTCGAAATTAAAATTCAAATTAAGTCACTCTCAAAAAATAGATTCAATGTTGAACCATTACATAGGTACCTTGAACTTTTATCTTTAGCAAACTTTCTGCATAGATGTTAAATTGAATCGTGTTTTTGTCTAAGTAGAACCATAACATCGAATAACAAAAATTTAATAAGAATGTGCCCAATAATATGGTTTGACTTTGCACCGTTTTTACAAATTAGAACAATCTTCACAACCTCTCAAATGAAATGTTACTTCAAATATTTTAATCATTTCAGTGTATGATATAGGATTGATTACCTTACATCGATCCACGCAGTCGGTGCGTTAGGTTAAGTCTTCCCTTTCCTCGGCTTGGAATGCGGTTCAATTTCCCGTGTAAAGACTGAGTGTTTGATCAAATTGTGCTCTTTCTCTGATAGTTTCTTAAGAGGCCCTTGCTATCTTGGCTTTTAGAATAAATTTTCGTTTTCTTGTGCATAAGAACTTTTGACGATATCGCATAATTCGGTAGCACAGTATCTTTCGAAAAAGAGAAGAAATAAGGAAGTCGCTTTTTTTTTAAATTAGGAGAAATATAGCTTGGCAGTTTTGAGAAATTCTATGAAATTTTTACTCAAAACTTTAAAACAAGAAAAGACTGCGGTTTGTGGTTTTAAATTAGTAATTTAAAAATACACATTTGTCAGTTTTTAGATTTTGTAGAATTTAATACTATTTTAATTTAAACTGATTGAAACTAATTTGGAGGATAATTATAACGTAAAAGCAAATATATTTATCAAAAATTGAACAGATTAATATATACTATTTAACTACCTTACTAAAACTTCTGATAGCAAGACTTTGTTGGTATAATTTTTTCGAAAATAATTTTTAAAAAATCTAAATTATCTCTCCCTTTATATCTCAAGTTTTTATTAGGTTGACGGCCTTGTATTTTACATGTATCGAAAGATTCTGTCGAATAAATTAAATATCCACCATCAGTTTTTTTTTATAACTGTCGTTGAACAATCGACCCAATTTTGAGTTTACGACTATCAATGTTCAACTTCGTAGTCTTGTAATTTTGAACCTAATCCAGAAGACAAGGGAGCTCCTTTATCAAGAATTGGGAAAAATTTTCCTTCGTGGAGAACTTTAGGATGGAACTAACCTTCATTTGCGTTGCATGGAGAGGAAGAACACTAAAACCTTCCGTGGTTAGCCTGATGGCAAGGGGATTCTAACCCATGATCCGTCTTCCACTGAGGATATTTCACGTCAGCACTGTGGTCGGTGCGAGCCGGATGCAGAATTCGTATCGATCAGTCATCGCTGCGATTCGAACCCGGTTCATCTCATTGGGAGGTGAACGCTCTATTTCCTGAGCCACTACGGCTCACCATAAGTTTATTTGTATTTGTGAAAAATAAATTTGAAGGATTAAAAACATGCCTAGAATGTTCCCTCCTCTTCGACAATTGAGTTTAGTTGAAAGAAAAAGAGCCTCATAATTTTAAGAAGTGCATTCCAATGTAATGTCCCAGGTGGTTTCAGTGATACATAGTTGGGAAACGTAATACGATTATTATCGCTATTTGACCTCCACTATAAATTGTAGTTGCTTAAGTGCGAGCATGCGCCAGTATTGTCTTCAGATCATCATTATGGACGAATTTCGAACCGTCGCCCATGAGTATAGCTATTGTACGACATTAACAACTCAACCTTTCATCAAGGAAGAAAATATTGATAACAATTATAATATGTAGAATTTAGAATATTTTTCTCTAAGAAAATTTCAATAATGGCTTTTTAAAAACTAATTTAGTTAGTTTATAATATCTGTAATGATGTTTCGATGATCTGTATGCATTAGTTATTATTACCTCTAATGGATATGCTTTTTTGTCAAAGAGATGCTCTGATCCTTGGCTATCCCTGGAGCCCCAGTGGAAGTGAAGTTGCTGGAATTGATACTCATCGTCCATACCTCCTTCTTTAAATGACCTGGGAGCATCATTGACATTTGGTTGGACTTTAACTGCAAAAAAACAGCATCATTATTTTTAATTATAAAAGAGTATAGGAAACTTCAATGACTCCAATCAGTATTAGAAGTCGAAAGAATACCGAGTTATCGAAGATTCGATAAATGGAAAACTAATTTAAAAGAAAACTACTTCCTGAAGTTTTATTTATTTATTATTTTTATTACAAAATTCAAGTACTTTAAGATAAGGAACAACAGATATGAAGAGATAGTATATACATACTACTAATGCATTCATTTATATATATATATAATGTACATATACTCATAATACAGAGCAATATAAACTATTCTTTATTACAGACAAAGTGTCCCGTAATAACCAAAAATTCAATGTAAATATTTAGAGTTCCTATAATAAGTGAAATAAAAAAACTAAGAACAATGGGATACGCAATAAATGAAACTACAAAGCAAATCAAAGCTATTATAAGCTAGTAATTTAGCAGTTATCATCTTTGGTAAAGTAAAAAATATAATAAAGTCAGTAAACGCAAAGGGGCGATTTAAATAATCTACGGCAAGTGCATTGAGGAATGAAGTTTGTTAATTCAGGGTCAAAAAGTTCAAAATATAGAGAAAACATGGAGGAAATTTAATGAGGAAAAGAGATGAAGTAAATTATTAAAATAAAATAACATTAAGAGGAATTAAAAAAAAATTTAAAAAAAAATTTAAATGAAAATTTGGAAAAAAAAGAAATAATCTCATCATCAGCTCACGCGATTACATCCGATGCACTCCTTTTTGCGGATATAATCGTGTGAGCTGATGATAAGATTATTTCTTTTTTTTTTCTGGATTTGTATCAAATTTTTTAAATTTTTTTTAATGTTATTTCATTTTAATAATTTTTTTCTTTTCTTTGCATCATTCTGTAATTTTCTCCATGTTTTCTCTATATTTTGAAATTATTTTATGAATTCTACATACTTGCAGCTTATGCGCAGTAAATAAAACTTATTAATATTCTTAATTCACTTCATTTCTTCATTTTTCGTTTTTTTCTTTTTATCTTTTTATCTTTTTTTGTATTTATTAATCGTGCTATATATATATATATA